AAAGTGAATTAGTATCAACCGGTTTGAACAGAATAGGGCTAGATATAAGGGTTTGCACTTACGCAGCGGCAATCTCTCCTGAGGAGTGACCGACTACAGCCTTGGGAGCAATACCAAAACTAGCCAGCAATTCCAACAGGGCAATTTGAACTGCTGTAGACAAGGGCTGGCTGTATTGTGGCAGATCGATGTTCTTGCTTGATCGTAACTCATCTATGACGCAAAAGAGTTCGCTTGTTAGCAATTTACATGAGTCGATTACCAAGCTGGGAAATGGATTCCTTACCAAAGATGGACCACGAGCAACCAAGGCTCTCGTAGATCTTATCAATCCTCTGGAGAGCATCCGAGAAAACGGGATATTTCACTAGGTCCCATCCCATGTCTGTGTACTGGGCTCCCTGTCCAGTAAACACAAACGCCAGTGTTGCATCTGCCGAGCTTCTCATGGGCTTCGCGGTATCAAGGCCCGTTGTGCCATCTTGCTCATTCCCAATAATGGAGAAGCTTCTCCAGAGCATATGTGTCCGGCGAGCAGCCAATGTGTAAGCCAGGCGATCGAGCTTGGTACGATTGCCTACGATTTTCTCATTATAGAAGAGCCCGTAGTCATGTATAGAGCGTTTGGTCGCCTGTTCGTCTGCAGCAGACCACACCAGCAGCTTTGGAAGACGTCCGGTTGTGGTATGTGCAGTCTTCTCGGAATCAACAGAGAGCTCAGAGTCGGAAAAGTCTTCAAGAGGACCATCGATGATCGGCGATTGCGGCGATACCAATTTACCAACTACATTCTTAGAAATGGCAACCGTACAGTGATTGCCGGGTAAATCTCTCTCGCGCAAGTAATGCAGCGCATCATCAAGCACGACGTGGGTGTTGGAGCCGCCGAAGCCAAACGAGTTGACGGAGGCTCTGCGCAGGCCTTGGCTGGGCCAGAAGACGCTCGCAGTGGGGATCTGAAATTACATGCCGAGTTAGAAAACCTTGAATGTGTATGGGATTACCACTCAGAGTCCGAACATACCGAGATGTGCCAGAAGTCTGCGTCTATAGCAGGGTTGATCTTCTCAAAGAGCGCATTGGGGGGGATGACGCCCCTCTCCAAGCTCACTGGACACTCAATGTCAGTTATCAAGTAGACAGACTGTCTCGCATGAAACAAATGACGACTCACAAACGACTTTCAGTAAACCAGCCAAGCCACTGGCACCTTCAAGATGGCCAATATTTGATTTAACGGAGCCGCTATTCAGTGAACCGCATTAGCATAACAGCATCCTTGAATTCAAGTAGCTAACAAATGTCACAAACTGAAAGGGGTGGGAGATTAATGACTTACATGTACAGCGGTTCTTTCTGAGACCGGTATTTTCGAAATACTCTCCCTATAGCCCTTGCTTCAATCGGGTCTCCCACCGGAGTCCCCGTCCCTGTATCAAGCGTTAGCAGCGGCCTCTACAGTATTTTGTTTGTCTTCGTTTCAAGGCCCAACTTACCATGTGCCTCAACATATCTCGTGTCGGTGAGAGGCAGATTGGCTTGCTTGTAGACATGCTCAATAAGCTCCTGTTGCGCGTTCTGGCTCGGCTGCGTCAAAATCGGAGTGTATCCATCCTGGTTTGAGCCCGTCGCGCGGATAACGGCCCTGATCATGTCACCATCTCGAACGGCCGCGGCGATTGGCTTGAGTACGACGGCAATGATGCCTTCACCCCTGGCATATCCACTCGCGCGGTGGTCAAAGCTGTAGCAGCGACTGTCCGGCGAAAGGAAATTCTGGCTCGACAGCAGATGGAAAATGGCAGGGTCCAGCAGCAGGTTGGCTCCGGTAACAAGGGCCTATCAAATGCAGGAAAAACACGACTTAGCCGTTTTGCCTTTTCAAGTAAATTTCTTTCGTGGAAGCCTTCTTCCGAACATTCCATGGCAGGGGGGTTGGGCATGAGCAGGGATTGGAGGTTGGGACTCACACATGATGCATCGCCGCTACGCAATGTCTTACACGCCATATCCACCGCTACCAAACTACTGGAACAAGCCGTGTTGACGTGAACGCTCGGTCCACGCAGATCGAAATACCAACTGACACGGTTGGGGATCACACAGGAGACCGTGCCGCCGGTAATGGCTGTCCGCTCTGCATTATCCGGATCCATTGCTGTGAGTCTCGCGTAGTCTTCCAACATGGAGGCGTGGAAGACGGCAGTCTGTGATCCCTTTAGGGCTTCGGTGGGAAATCCGGCTATGAGAGTCACGGTTAGTATGACATGTAGTCACGAACATTATATGGCAAAAGGCAGTAAGTAGAGCGGCTGAAATAAGAGAGTACAAAGGCGAAACAACGTCACAGCTGCCCACTACAGGAATCCCGTTGGCGCTTTTTGGGATTTGTGCCTCTTACCTTTCTCAAAAGCCCGATATGAAGCTTCCAGAGTCAGTCTTTGCATTGGATCCATTGCTGCAGCTTCCTTCGCTGTTACTGAGAAAAAAGGCGCGTCAAAGCCAGCAATATCCTCTGTGATGAAGTGTGCTCCCTTGGGGAAGGGCTGTACAATTGCCAAGCCAAGTCAGCGAGATATCAGCGTGAGGCCTGGAAGCCCCGAGAGAACATGGATCAGCTTCTTACCTTGTCTGATTTTGTGTCCAAGAATGATTGTGCATTCATGCGAGACTCGGGCCAGCTGGTCATCAGATTTTGACGATTCTCCAAGATGTCCCAGAAACTCAAGTCATCGTTTACATCTTGTGGGAGTCTAAAGGAGTATCCGACGACGGCGATGTCGCCGTTTCCTTGGTCAGGAACTTGGGATGTGGTTTGTGCCATTGCAATAACGATATTGATGTAGGTGTGTAGTAGTGATGGTGATGATAGAATGGATTCGGGATATACCAAATGGCAGTGACAAAGAACAATATGTTGAGCAACACGGTTTCGTCTTGTGGGAGTAAAGGAGGATAAGTGACTGCAGCAGTATGGAATGCTTGCTTTGGAGAACTCAAGGCAGGACTGGATGCCCTTTTTCTACTTTGCGAGCCCGTCTTCTTCAAGAGAGCGTCCCATTTTTTTGTAAACATCCCCAGGAGGCTAAGTACACGAAGTCATTCTCAGGGTCCTCCTATCTCACCGAGATATCGCAAGATATGCTATTACGGGATCAAGCGATAATCTGGAATAGCCCCTATTGGACCCAGCCGGCGCAAAGTGACTCCCGAATGACGCTTACAAGCTTGACAAAGTCCTCCTTGGCAGAGGTACTTGCTGTTTTCGGGGAAGATGGAAGACGAGGGCCGGATGGGTCTCTCGGTTACAACCAGGGAGTCTGGAGTAGTCTGCTACTAGTATGTAAAACGGTCAGTCAGTCTATCACTCGTTTGTTCACCGGGGCTCGTTTACTCTCACTACTAGTTCATGGATTTTGTTGTTGTTACTATATATTGTTGGTGTTGGTTTAAGGTTCTGTGAGAGGATGTTGGCTGTTGACCTGCAGTAGTGTCCAAATACTGGCTCTCTTGGAGCTTCATGCACAGTTTATAAATTTAGAACGCACAGACTGCTGCTTGGGCCAGCTGTCATCAAATTCATGCAGATAAAGATGACAAAAATGTCCCAGCAAACCGGACAGTCACGATCACATCGTAAAGTCCCAGCATTAGGGGCCAACCTCTTGGGTGGCTGGCAAAACTGGACCGAATGTCCCACAAAAAAAGACGATATGGACCTGACGGGGGCTATGACCGGTGATACGGTAGAATGTGAGACTGTGACAATGGATTGGTAACGAATCAATCCGCGGATGGCGGAGTCCAGACCGAATATCCTTCCCAGATCGCCCAATGCGAGTGTAGCTGAAACACCACCACTATTCCACTAGGTACTACAAGTAAATATGCCGCATTGGCCGGTCTGATCCGAAAATAAGGACCGTTCCGGCGATCGTGGGTATGGCCAGTCAACATGAACTAGAGAGAGACGTGGGCCCGTATGCTCATACAATCCATCAGTACGCTTGTCATCTCTTAATTCATACGCCTACCCAAAGTTCCATTTGGAATCACACCGAGTTGGTTTGAATAACTACCAACGCCTGGTCGTCCCTGACTACCTGGCTCAATTTTAGCGGAAGAACCAATTGCTAACCCTTGAATTCTTTTCCAGTCTCCTGATTGAGTTACCGCGCGACCCTGCTATACGGAATTTCAAATACCGAACCAATTTTACGGAATCTCGCCTGAGTGATAGGTAGCATCGGCCCTCCATATCTCGGCCCACCGCCCCCCTTCCATACTCTAGATTTGCATCTGTGAGTGACTAGCGTCAAACTGTTAGTCTGACAATTGTTGAAGATGGCCCGGGACTAAGGCGAGTAGGAGTGAAGATCCCGTCAACTTCAGTCCAATTCAAGGAGGTGACTCGGGACGTTTGCAATTGCTTCGTATCGTATGTACTGTACTGAGTGGGCTGCGAACGATGCGGTCCGCGGTTGAACAAGCCTGGCAACGGCAACATCGGTGTGGAAGACTGTAGGGCCGGCTTGCAAGGTTACCCCGGGACGTTTGGACGTTTAGCTCAGGATGTCTCCCCGCCGGTGGCACCGACCCGTCGACACGGGAATCAGGATTGGGTCCAAATTTACAACCTGCTGTTCTCCTAGTGACCAAAGCTTGGAGCGGCAGTTGTCTGCCGAGTTCATGGAGGGCCTCGGGGAAATACAGAGTACCAATGAGAGAAGGTACACATTTGGAGGGACTCTTGCTTCACGTGCAATGTAAGAGAAGAAGAATGTAAGAAACTGTTCGGTATGAGACATGTGCTTTGCAAAGTAGAAATGTAATGCTCTTCACAGCGTATCCTCTTCCTAATACGCACATAAAATGCCGTGCTGACATTTACTCGTCCCCCCAAGTCTTCATGTTACTATCATCACGCCATCCGCGGAAAAGGACGTCATCACATGTCTTCTTTCGCCCTCGAGCGATTCTCCCTAGACGTCGACGTGTCTTCATCCCAACTGTGCTCGCTCGACAGTACGCTCAATGGCCCGAAGAGCCCCTGATAGCCCATCGGCCGACTTCGCTCCGGGCACCTCATGCCCTAGCTGATGGAAAACCAGCTCCCGCTCTTCACTGCACAGTTGAAACAGCGACTGGTGCAGCTTCTCCGGATCCCCCATGCCGCTGCTGGTCCAGAGGCCAGACAGGGGCGACAACGCTACCAAGCGGGCAAACGGCTCGTTGGAACCAATGATATGAGCAGTGGGGACGCGGATCACGGACCCGTCCACGGCAGGGTTGAGGCATCTGAGAGACGCCGGCTCTTGAGAAATGCCGGCGGGATCCAATGGCGGCGCTGCGCTTAAAAGGATACCGCATTGAAAACCTGCAAAGCCCTGTCTAGCGTCTTCCGCGAGGAGCATTGCCGCGACTATACCGCCTTCTGAGAAGCCCATGACCCCCTGGAATGGCCCGTTGTTGGCGATGAATTCCACCAGGCCGAGGAGGAGTTCTTGCGATTGGGCCTGGCTGACGGGCTTGTCGAACCAGCCAAAGAATTCATCGGCAACCGCTTCGGCCCCTGAGAAGTCGATACGTAATTAGTCTTTAGCACTTGCACTAGAAAATGCAGAATAAGGGGGGGAGGGACGTCGGGGAGATTGATAAGATGGACTTGTGTGTGTTCTCATGCCGATTGTTTCTTTGGTGTCCAGGGTAGGGAGTAGATGGCCTCACCTTCGCTCGGCTCTGTTGACACAACACCATCTATAAAGACAAACTCATGGCTACTGAGTTCTTCTCGGAGCCTCGCTGCCAGTCGACAATTATACGTTAACAGACGTTTCTCAGTAGTTTTTGTCTTGGAATAGCCTCACCGGTCTGCAGCTCGAAAATCTAACCAAAAGACGTTAGCAGCCAGTAGTCAACTCAAGGACCATGTCTAGGTATCAAGAGGTGAAGACTCGGCCAACATACCTCGCTGGAGGTCCCACGCCCGTGGAGACAAAGAAACCGCATGGTATTGAACTGTTGAATGCTTAAATTCTGCCGTTACATGTAGAGATTAAATCCCAAGCGCAGAAAGTTACACCTCTATTGGCTTGTACGACATTCCGTCGTCTTAAGACGGCTAAGCTATCATTCTGCCGCGCTTTTGAGAGTGTATTAGCGTGTTTGACCAGTCTTCTCGGTTGTCGGTCTTTCTCGCGACATTCTCCTGGAGCTTTCAAGTGAACATGGGTGTTATAAACCCCTGAATTCTTCTTCTAGGATGCTCCGCATACGGTCTCCAGTTTTAACATGGGCCTTGCTGGCTCATATGAGGTCCCGCTTACTGAACGACAACGAGGATCCATACGCTTGTTTGGTCCTATACTGCTTATTGAGCTAAAGCGTTTACGAATACACGTACTTCTACTGTACGCCCTGCCGATGCGAGGGGCCGGGGTTAATAGAGGAGTGGCGTTTGCTGGAGGATCACGGCGTAGAACATACTCGTACGAGCATTGCATACTAGTATTGCCTTGTAATTCATGCGTACGCGTGTTGGTGTGGTTACTGAACGAGTTGTTGGCCGTGTGCTGCATTTGCCAAGCTTCTCCGCTAGCATGAAATCAAACATATAACAGTAGAACGATATCCAGCTCTATATCCGTACATCCGTATTCTGAAAGAAACTTCTCCCAACCCGCCCCCCGAAATCTCTCAGGGGCAGCATTCCAAGCTATCCACAGATGACGGGTTGCATTTGAAGATCATTTCGCCTTTTCACGCAACAACTTGTAATCCCATACGTTGCTGTCGCGTCCTCGGAGAGTCTCTTCCTCGTCTAACCAGTTCTCCACACTCTCTGTATATCCACCCAGCCGGCATCTTTCAAACCATGGCTCTCGCCCTTCCAGCCGGTGCCGCGGAAATCATTACCCGCAAAAAGGCGCTATACTGCCGTCTCGCCGACACCAATGACTGGGGCCTGGCCGACAAGGTCATGTTACCCGACTTCGCCTTTACAGCTGTCGATGAGGATGATAACATCGTCAACATCAATGACACCGACTATCATTGGACCTCATTGGCAGATTGGGTGGCATATTTCAGCAGAATCTTCGACTCAATCCAAACGATGCATGTTGCTGGCTATCCGGAGCTAGAGCTGGTGGCTTCAGACGAGATCAAGGCCATATTCGGCGTAACCTATCTGGTCGGTACCAAAGAGGCCAACAAAGGGGTGCATGGTACTGGTGGAGGACACTATTACGAGACTTGGAAGCTCAAGGATGGCGATTGGTTCCTGCAGAAGACTAAATTTGTGAGAATCTATTGGAAAGAAATGACACTGTAGCTGGTTAGTCTGCGTAACGTTAATACGCACTTGTAGCCGTATTCGAGCACATTCTACTGGTACCGTCGTGTTAGTCATAGCTGTTGGTGATAGATCCTGGTAGAAACAGAACCACTGCATGTAAGTACAGTAGCCCTGCATCAGACCCATCTATACCCTGCATATACGACGATCATTTCTGGATGGAGCAGATAAAAGGAGCAAGATCCTAGAAATGCAGTTCCCTGGTTCCCTGGTTCCTACAGTACTTACATTACCATGACCGAGTTTTCAAATCCCCGCCATACCTTGGAAATGGCCTTTTGTTCTCGCCCGGTGGGAGGCTGGATCCACGGCTCCATCACGGGGCCTAGACAGGATGTCGATGCTAAAAGCGATCGACAGAGGCTTAGCGATACAGTTGAAGCAGGTAGTATGGGGCTAAACTTTGAAAGTGGACGTGAAACATGCCAAGCATGCTCAGAAGAAAAAGAAAGCAACAAGAAGTCGGGCAATACCCTTGTGCTATCCCCATTGTTGATAATGTTACGCTACAGAAGCACGGAGACCGCTCCGACGGGCTACAACCGGTGTAGATCTTCGCGTAAACCCCTGTTTACTCTTGTGCAAGCGTGTATAAATGCATCAAATATCTCATACATAAGGAGACTGCTCACATACGAACGACAACTAGCATCTGATATCATGAGCAAGGAATGCTGTATACATGTAGACTACAAGTATGCATATGCCAAGAACCTAGGTATTGGTTCCCGGTAGTAATCCGTAGCGTTGTCCAATCTGACCCATCGGGATTAATTACATGTACCTTACCTGACATTCAATGACAGAGATTTGATGTCAATGCCCGAATAATAACTCCCCCAGCATTTCCGAGGCGGGCAGTTTGCCGGCCAAGGCCCCCCTGGTTATCATTGCTGGAGCCTGCCGCATTACCGCAAAAAAAGGCGGCATTTAATTTGCGTTACTGGAACCAAGGCAGTCGTTGTTAGAGGTATTGACGTGTAATATTTTCGGACCAGGGATCATGCAACTTCTTGCCATTGCCTACCAATGATGGAACTACGGAGTACTACCTACTGCTCTACTTTGTATGGACTACAGCACATTCCTAATCTTCACTAGCTTGTGATAAAAATACGGTTGGTTACAAAGAACTGACCAAGGTGGTGAAACCATGCGACTCTCGCATGAGTTGCCGCACCACTCATATCAGGTACTACTACTATGAATAATCATGTCGTATCAACATTTGGAAGAGGACGAAAAAAGACTTGGTGCCGTGGAGCACCTAGGCAACTTTCTTCTCTTCTTGATCATTACTAAGAGACTATGTAGTAGTATTTGCATTCCATCCATGTATGTACATAGATGAAGCAAGCAGGCCAACCTTTGCCTGGCCCAATCCATATAGTATGTGGTTCTTGGCACTCCACGTCTTCGGTGCTCTTACGAGTATATCCCAAAATAAAAGCCCAGGGGTAAACACAACAACACACAACAACGGCACAAACAAACACGGGTGGGAACCAACGACCGGGAAATTTTGCTCGTCGTCGGCTCCAACTAGTTGAGAACCGCCGCAGCAGTAGCATCCTCAGCGTCAACACCTCTGAATTCGAAGAACTTGTTCCATTCGGGGTCCTCGATGAGATCCTGTGCCAATCTCTTCTCATAGAAAAAGGACATTTCTGGGCCCTCATCTGACTCTGGGTCATTGCTGCGGGGTGGGTAGACAATGATGACACCTTCAGTAATACGATCTGTCAGGTGGCGGTAGGTAATGGCCTTTGCGAAGCCAAAGTCAGTCGAGGCCATGCTGGCATCACGGTGGTCGGTCTGAAGAATCGACATGGGTGGCAGGGAGTCTATGCGGATGTTGAGGCTTGTTTTGTCGCGAACAGTGGCCACCATGTCCAACGTCTTGTCAAGGGCCTCCTGAGTGACACTGTCCGTCATCTGGCGCACGTACTGGGCTACCTTGGACAGCGGCCACTCTGAGATGACCTCGGCTACCGTTGGCTGCTCGACAGGGGCGGTCGTGGACAGAGCCGCGAACATGACATTACCCCGAATTCGCTCAGTGACCTTGGGGGTGTGCCAACGCCTGCGCATGTCGATGGCCTCTGCCCAGAAGAGCTTTGATGCCGGATCCGGGTTGAAGATAGGGGCACGGACACGAGTTACCGTACGCCATATAAAAGCAGAGAAGGCATCATAGGTAGAGATCCATGATCCGTCTGTTGGCGTGGCCAGCTTCTTCAACTCGGCCGCCTTACTCTTGGGCAAGTGGAAGAGCAGAGACACTCCTTGAATGTGACCGGGATGGCGTTCTGGTGCCGGAGGTCCATCGACCTTCTGATCTTCCGGTGGCTCAGTCTTGACGAAAGGCGAAAGATCCTGGTTCTTGGGATCCCAAGCCGGGAACGGAGTCTTGTGTAGGGCCGCGTAACAGTTTTCTGCCAGTTGACGAGTGTAGCCGGCCCAGCCCATGACATCGTTGGAGTAGTGATGGTGATGCATGTTGAAGACCAACCCGCCCCTGACAAAGTTCATCTTGAACGCAGCCACGACGGGGCTAGCGTCGGGATGAGCCTCGGGCTTCTCGCCATAGGTCATCGGATCGACACTCCAGAGTTTGAGGTCGCCAAGAGGCACCGCACTGAAGTTCGCCTTCTCGATATCGTCGATGGACGGGTACTTGTCAGCATCTTCAGGGGCATCCAGCCACTGTACGAACAAGCGGGCGGTGCTGTCCTTCTTGCTAACGTACGAGTGGCCGCCACCGGGGTCCTTTTCAATAGTGCCACATAGATGCTTTGCCTGACCGAGAGTCCTCGCGAGGCCTTCCTTCATGATTTCGACGGCTTGAGGCTTGGCCGCATCGTCAATCTTGAAGAATAATGCATAGTTGTTGTAGGAGATGACTGAGAGGTAATCCAGAGTAGAAACTTTGAATCTCTCCTCTTCAGGACCATTCTCCCATCCGAATGGATGAATTTGGAATACTTCTTGTTTGGGTGCCATGGTATCGGCTGATGGGGTGAAAGAACGTGGGGAGAAAAAAAAAACTAAGCTATGGAATAGGGGGGGAAGCTCAGTGTTGGAAAAAAGCGTTATTTGGTTGGGTATAGAGTTCTCGGCTTGCCCTCAATCTGCTCTCATTTAAGAATTCGTTGCTTCCCCTTGAATGTCTTTAAATATGCCAGTCGTAGAACCGAGAGTATCTTTGCGGTGTGTTCTCTCCCCCCTCCTCTCGAGCAGCGCTATCATCTCAAGCGAAGACACTAAGTTGGATTCGATACTACATGCAATCAAGTCAGTTAATGCGACATCTGAGCCAGGCCTTGAAACTAACGTAGTCGGAAATGATAGATCCCATTGAAGATAACCCCGTCCCCCCTCAGCGTTGTACCTGAAGGACGCCGTTGAATGCTACCGTGGAGACTGAGAGGCGGTATTCTTCCAACGAGACCCTTGTAAACTTCAGAACCTGGCCATAACCAGGAAACTCGATGGCAATTGGGACTCTAGTGGAGAATTCAGGGGAAGAATTGCCGCTCGTACTCGTACGAGCTCTAGAGTCTACACATACATACTGTACAGTGAGAGTGTACCTCATGTACCTAGTATGCTGCCAGGTGTGCCTGCATGATCCACCCATAGCTACCTATGGATACAGAGTACATTACCTATCATGATGCAGTCTGTATCGGTAGTCCTTCTTGGATTCACCCTGAGTACGTGTAGTGTAGTGTACTACCAACGTGGGGGTTACATGAGTGGTATATGTAGTACGAGCAGTATCAATGTCTCGGCGCTGTTGGGACACACACACACTCGGCTGTCGCACGGATTCAACACTATCGACATCTACAAGAACGCTCCACACTGTTTAGCACGGTTCTGCGCGGAAGAGCAATGTGAGACAAAGCTCTCGGTCTAGGGGGCTTCATCCCGTGCGCTAGCCTTGGTGATCCCGGCCCCGTCGTCAATTGGAAGCGATGGGATTTTCATCCCGGGCTCCTAGTCAGGGTTTGGTCTGTTAGCCCTCGCGGTCCGCGGTGAACGGCTTCCGGAGCGGGCGGCATTAACCCAGAATGGCTGAAATGTGGATGATGCCGAGTCGCGACAATTTGAGCAAGGGTGGTCCATGTCAGAAGCCGGGCTTTGCTTTGCTTTCCTCCAGCCGAAGACGATCAGGGGAAAGTGGTTGACATTGAAGGACCGCCGAACGAGGATGATCTACCGGTTTTTTTTGGGAAGTATTTTCTGACACATCACTGAGGGGAATTGGGTATAGAATGAAGCTAATGCAAATGGGTAAAGTCGTCCTTGAAGAGTTTTCAGTAAGACCACCGGCAACACCGCTGCTTGAACCCAACTGCAGTAGTTACTCATCCCAGCCGCTCAGTATGCTCGTCTGAAAAAGTGCACACAGGTGCTGGTAAGCAGCATGGTGAACCCGGTCGTGCTCGTTTCGAACCCTGGGACGATGCTAGATTACGCATTGGCCGTCATAGTAGTACGAGGTTGCGAGCCTCAATTCCCCGTCTTCTGATTTGTGAACGAGACTCGCCTAGACTCTGGGTTCTTTCTCCTGATGCTCAACTAGCCATCTCCATCCAACAACTTTATCTTGGACAAAGTTCCACCTTTTGTGACGAGCAGAGGCTAAACAGACGAAGAGTGTTTGGAGACCGACCAGAGCGCGGCGCGCAGCACAGTTAGTCTTGCATTGGAACATCGTCTACCCAAAGACCAGCAGCCATCTTACCCTCGGTTGACGGAAATTATTTCTACTTTTCCTCCCAACACGCTGTCTTGACAAACTTGAACCCCATCCCATCATGGATCTCAACGGCCCGGCCATTCCGGCGCCTCCTGGCGAGGTGTCGATACTGGACAACCCTCCGAATAGCAATGGACTTGCTTTGGGCGTTCAGATATTCACTGGCGTGATTGCGACACTATGCTTTCTCCTTCGACTCTACGGTCGAGTCCTGCTGGCGAAGAAATTCCAGGCGGAAGAAAGTAAGTTTACTCGATTTCCGATGCATGCCATTTCATGGTGACAGTTTAAATCATGTAAACGTGTACACATTTACTGACTGCATCTTTGCATTATATAGTGATGGCTATAGCAGCTTTTGTTCGTGAATCATCATGTTACCTGTATAGAAAACGAGGAGTGTGTCGTGGCTAATCTTGTGTTTGATTGCTGGATAGGGCTGCTATTTGGGTGCCATGATTCCCACGTTTGAGATGCTCAAGTATCCTGGCTACCTTGTTCACGCATGGAATGTTCGACTCAAAGATGTCATTCCAACTACCTATGTAAGCAGTCGCCTTTTGATATTTCCTCTCGGTAACTCCAGAGAACTGACACGCAGCACGCGTCGTGTAGTGGGTGTTTCTTTTCGGTGTCTTTTACTCCCTCGTCCTTCCGCTACTAAAAGTAGCCATCATGGTTGAATGGGTTCGATTGTTTGTTCCCACCAGAAAAAGCAAAAGTTATTTATTTTGGGGGGCCGTCGTGATCTCGATTATCCAGATCGGGGCTGGAATCGCCATCATCATTGCTCTCAACCTTCAGTGTACTCCGCACGAGCGCATCTGGGATTTTACGGTCCCTGGTACGTGCTGGAATCTGTATACGCTGCAGGTCATTTCTGCAAGTGTTCAGCTTGGATCTGATGTCGCCATGTTCTGTCTGCCGCAGCACACTATCTGGACCCTGCAGATGACGTGGCAGAAGAGACTTGGTGTTGCTGCCATCTTTGGCATGGGTATACTGTGAGTAGAACCTCTGTTGATGGAAATTGCAATTGGTGGATACGATTTCTTTTCTTCACATTTAAGAAAACCAAGCAGCTTACATCCTCTCGTGTTTTTTTCTAGTGCTATTGTTGCGGCATCTTTCCGACTCGATGTGACAGTGGTGCACGGCAACTCCCCCGACTCTATCTATACACTCGGCCCGATTGTGTTTTGGGCCTCGGCCGAAATGACATGCGGTTTCTTCATTCTTTGCGTGCCTTGTATCCCCAAGATTATTCAAGAAGCGGGTATTGTCCCTGCCATCAAGAAGGGAACGGGCATGTTTCAATCTGGCAGCAAATCCAACTCGGGTTCAAAGAATGGCTTTTCTCGCGGCGGCGGCACCACCAAGACGTCCGTGTCGGCGAACAAGGATTACTATCAGCTCGACGAGGAGGGAATGAACATGAAGAACCTGTCAGAGTCGACAGAGCATTTACACCAGAGCTCTGCCATCACTCGAACCACGCGCGTGACAGTGACCAACGACAGCCGCTCCATCAGCGATTCCGACAGCAAGAATGATGGCTGGGGTAATTAGATGGACAACGACCGGATGCAACGACGAGGCTGCTTCGGACGGCCATGATACCCTTTTCAAAAAGCTTCAGATTTTCTTGATGTACTACTATACTAACGGCCGAGGCGCTGGCACCAACGGTGGTGGTTTGCCGAATATCTTTTGATTTCTCGTCTTCTCTTTCATCTCCTTTATCACTCAATAGTATCTAATATTCGATGCTAGTCTCAAAGAATGAGCAATCATCTTTGCAGGACTTGCGTGGCTATTTCCTATATCACATACTTCAACCTATATACGATAGAAGAATACACAGCTGCAACGCTGGAACGTTGGCTTACGCCTACATGTACTTACTATACTGTGTGTCCATGCCATTACGGTGTATAGCCAGAAACTCTGGTATGTTTTATGCCAGCAACCACCACGAGAAGAGGTGTTTATGGCGATGTAATATCAATCGTTTGCCCATCAATTGCTGCTCCGTGTTGCAAACCCCCTGTTGTCTTGGCACCCAGGGACAGGATACAAGGAGCGGCGTCGCAACTAGCACCCAAATTGGCGACCAGTATCTGGGGTTCTAGAGGGCATGATAGACTAAATACTTGTTAATAATTACTCCCGATTATTGAGTATTGAATAGTGAAAATGCTCATGTCCGTCCTCTGTGTCCGGCCATCACAATTACCACTGTGGTGGCCAGGGTACCAGATACATGTAGGTATGTAGGTGCCTACTAATATACGCAGCTCCTCCCGACCTGGAGTGAGATCGCGAATAATAAGCGCTGTCAAAATCAAGTGCCGAGTAAAACCTCCTTACGCGCCTCGGCAAAAGCCACAAAACAATGGATTCAATCTCAATGCCGAAAGTCTCCCCTGAGCTGTGCTGGAAACAAAAAGGTCTAGACCATTGAGCCCTGAACCTGGATCATGGGAGGTCCAAGTCCAGGGGCTGGAGATTAGCCACACACATGTATGTATTGACACCAGCCACAGTCCATCAACCGCTGTAAGCTGATCGGTCAGCACCAAAGATTGCTCCGTTGCAGGCGTCGAAATCCGGCGTCCAAAGTGGCAAGGCGCAATGCAACGCCCACCGCCTTTCTCCAGCTGCCTAATCTCTGCCAATGCCAATGCCAATCATCATCATCCATTAGCTGGCTAACCTCTCACAATTCCCACTTGCCCAAAACCCACCGCTGCAGGAGTGCTGTGCCAATTGCTCGAGAAGTCCAACGATGACTGTAGAACGAAGCGGGCGCCAGGCCCCGGCCGAGTCGGTTGCACCGGCTTCGGAGCGCACGCCGCTGTTGGCATCCGGCGCGTCAGAGTCACGCACCGACGGCAGTGGATTGACGGGGGCGGCGGCGATTCTGAGACGGCATCAGCGCAGTGAGAGCGAGAATGAGCGGCTGCTGGCCGGAAGCGACGACGACGACGACGACGATGGCAACAATGGCAACGATCAGGAGGAGGAGACGACGGTGGTGGCCGAGCAAGTGTCCTTTGCCAAGCTATGCCTCATCATGGGAACCGCCTACCTAGGCGTCTTTCTCGGGGCAATCGATTCGTCCATCATCGCCACGCTCTCGGCGCCCATCTCGAGTGAATTCCAGTCCCTCAGTCTGCTCTCATGGCTCGCAACGGCGTATCTCATCTCCAATGCGGCGTGCCAGCCCATCTCGGGTCGTCTGACGGACATCTTTGGCCGAGGCCCGGGCTTGGTCTTTAGCAACTTGTTCTTTGCAGCTGGCAATCTCATCTGCGGGCTGGCGCAAAACTCGAGTGTCATGATTTTCGGCCGTGTCATTGCGGGTATCGGTGGCGGCGGCCTGATGAGCATCTCGACCTTTTTGGGGTCCGACTTGGTTCCCTTGCGCAATCGTGGTGTTGTCCAAGGCATTGGAAACGTATGTTACGGCTCAGGGGCCATGATGGGAGGCATCTTTGGCGGATTGATGAACGACCACACCAAACTGGGCTGGAGATTGGCTTTCCTTATCCAAGTCCCTCCCGCGATTCTTTCCGCCATAGCCGTGGCTATCCTCGTCAGAGTGCCACCAAAGCAATCCAACAAGTCTTACCTTGCACGAATCGACTTTGGCGGCGTCTTCTTCACGGTGTCCTTCCTGGTTCTCCTCCTGCTCGGCGTCAATGCTGGCGGAAACCTCGTGCCTTGGATCCATCCCCTGCCTCTTACGACGATCCCTCTCTCCATTGTGGCGTTTGTTGGTTTCATTTGGTGGGAGAGCAGAGCGATGCAGCCCATCATCCCAGTCAGGCTCCTCCTCGACCGTACCTTATTGTCTGCCTGCTTGTGTAACTTCCTTGCTACCATGGTTACCTTGTCGGGCATCTTCTATGTTCCTCTATACCTCCAGGTTCGTGGTGACTCACCAACGGTTGCAGGCCTGAAAATGCTGCCTTCGCCTGTTGGTATTTCCATTTGCTCTGTCGGAGCGGGCTACATTATGAAGAAGACTGGTCGGTACATCCGGCTGGGCATCAGCAGCATGCTAATGGTCATTGCTGGAATCCTGTTCTTCACGTCGCAGAACGAAACCAGTCCCGGATGGGTGACTATGGTGGCTTTCTTCCTGGTGGGCGGAGGTTACGGTGCCATGTTGACAACAACTCTGCTGGCGTGCATTGCGGCGGTTGATCACTCACAACAGGCTGTCATCACATCAGCAACCTGTGCGTTCATGTTCCTCCCCATTTATCAAATGTTGAAAGGCTAACTTGGGATAGATCTCGCTCGAAGTTTGGGTGGTACGATTGGCATCACAGCTAGCTCGGCTGTCTACCAGAACGTGCTCAACGCTCGTCTGTGGCAGCGATTCGGTGATGAGCCTCATGCTGCCGAAATCATTCAAAAGATCCGTGATGACCTGAACTTCTTGAAACACCTACCATCAGGATGGTATGACGGGGTGTTGAAGTCGTTCATGGAGGCGTTCAGAGGCGTCTGGTTAACCATGCTCACCTTGGCTATTGGTGCTCTCATATGCGTATCGCTCATGAGGCAGCACACTCTCCACGAGACTCTCTCTAGGCGATGAGCGTGAGGGACTGCCACATTCGACGGCAAACAAGAATATGCTTGCCAAGCGCCAGCAGAAAGCCCTTTGGGGCTCTTTGGCGCTCTTCAGCTGTGATACTACGGAACCAGGATTCATTCAACAACTGCTGCTTTCAATAGAACTGGATATACGGTTTAGCAAACAGGCAGGCATTCACACATTGGGAGGAAGCAGCAACTTTCTCAGAACGTACATCTACGTGTATTTGGCTGCCTTTGGATGAACATTCGGCGCTATCTTTTATTCACTCGCAGCACACACATCTACGATTATTTGATTGCCTCTGCATGAGCATTTGGTACTACTGTCTTGTTGTTCAATGTTCAATGTTCAATGTTTCACTTGTTCACTTGTTCACTGAGTCATTCTTGCCTTTGACGAGCATGAAATAGAAATAAAATGCTCGCTCTTGCCCTAGCTTTAAGATATCTGATAGTATTATTCGAAACAAGAAAGAGAAGAATCTTCTTGCCTAATTTACCTTCATCTTATTATCATGTCGCATAAACCTTCCAATTACCCCGGTATTCAGCTGACGCCGATCGAACAAAACGGTATTAGACAGTACAAACGTATCGCCGTTGTTCTTCCCCTACTACTAACGGAAAATGGCTCTTCTAGGGAGACTCAGACGGTTGGGGAGGAGATTCTGAAGGCGTTTGAAGAAGCCGTGGGGGCGTGGCCATTGCTTTGTTGCAGTGTTGGAGTATCCGAAGATGGGAAGCTGATACTGCTGGGCACGCCAGCTGAGTATGACGATGCGCAATCTCAGCTGCGTGATGCCCATGATCCTCCCAGCACCGAGTCTGGAATCAACAGATTGGTTTCACAGCTATACTCAAAATCCTTGGGCGCTGCTTTCTTTCGCTCAGAGAGAGGATTGGATCTCGCCACAGGGATGCCGCCCGTGATGATCAGGCTTTCTTTTCTGGGCGGCTACGCTGTGGTGGGATTTTCTTTCTACGAAGCCGTCGTTGACGGAGAGTTTATTGGTCGTTTCTTTTCCCGGATGGCTGACTTTACGTGGCCTCACATGGCCAACGAAGTCCAGCATTGGTACCGGAGGCCGCTTGAAGCGTTTCCATCAGCCGCCCTCAACCCATATCTGTTTCCTTTTTACGACTGGAGCAACAGTCCGCTGCCCCAAACCACGCCAAAGGACAGGCTGGTTTGTCGGCTTATTGAATTCAAAAGCTCCCCCGTGACGGAGCTGATTGGACGTCTTCGACAAGCGATAGGCAACTTTGCTCCATGGCACAAGGACGGATACTACGTCGTTGCCATGCTGTGGGCTACAATTATACATGCGCGGTTCTCGAAACACAGAATCGGGGTTGACAGCACTGCGAGGCTCAACATCCTGCTTCCAGGAGAGCCGAACGCACGACGATGGGAGGCGCCTGACTGGAGTTACTTTGGCAGCTCAACGGTGCCGACTGTGGCCGAGCTCAGCGTTCCGCGTCTGCTCTACGCCGAAGCATACTCTGGCGACGGCAACTATTCCAATGATTTCCAGGGTGAGATCAACTCTACCTACAGCGTCAGAGGGCTCGCCGAGGCGGCCAGCGCAATTCAATGCGCAATCGACAGGGTGGACGGCAACTACGTGCGGTATCTCATGGGCCTCAAGAACAGCCTGCAGCCCAGCACCGACCGGACGGCATACAGCCGGGGCATCGACCGGCACACGACCGGCATGGTGTTCGAGGACTGGAGCGGCTACTTTAGCGACTTGGCGATCGGAACTCCATACACGACAGGCCAGGTGATGGGAGTTTTGCCATGCGCGGACGACAAGGAGGAGGGCAAGATTGTGTTGCTGCCGCAGATGCGAGGCTCGGACGACACGGAAAACGAGATTGGCTGGGCGACGTGGGTTTGCCTAGACGTTGAGGAGATGCCTGTTGTGCTGAGGGAGTTGTATTCGCAGGGCTGGATTATAGGGGAGGCTGCTGCGAGTGTGAATACGACGGGAAGCTCGTAAAAAGGTTCTGGATACAGGGTTGGGGAGATTTTGAGGTCGTTTAGGTACGAGACACTTGCTGGGTTAGTACGGGCATCTGTGCCTTAGTATGGAGTACTAACCCTCTTCTATGTATAGTCTACCTCATGTAATGGCTTATTTTGGACGCCTACAGGTACCAAGGGATTAGATATTGCCTGCAAGTAGTACCTAGTAAGAACGAAGCAAAAAAAGAGATGCCTTGTTTCTGCATGATATATTGGATTGATTGCTCGGCTAATAGAGCCGTATCAGGTCGTGTCTGGAATACTAAAGTGTCTCATTTCAGACTGGAGCTGGAGGTCATGGGCCAATGACGTAGCGGTTACAAAGTCCATATCAAATGCAATGCAAAACACTCAGCGGTTGAAATAGCCCTCCCAGCGCTGTACATAAACAATAGACTCTACAGTAGTCCGTATGTACCGACTGCGGGACGCATTGCCGAGACCCGCCGCAATAGGGCGGAGCCACAGCTGGGTGAATTTTCGTGTCATGCTTACAGTATATGCCCCCTTTGTTTTGTAATAGTAACGAGGTGGAATTGAAAGTGTTGAGGGAAGAAGAGAAGAAAAGAAGAGATGCATAATTCCAAAGTGCCAAGTGCTAATGCAGACTTCCAAATCAATAACATCATCATCGTCACGAGCATCATCATCAACAGGAACCGAAAGCGAAAAGGTCAAAGTGCCTTGGCGGGTGGCGCAGCCCCAACCGCACGCGCCCCATCCACATCCCCATCCACATCCCAAAGTAAGCCCGCGGCGGCTGTGGCTGTGGCTCAGGCTCAGGCTTCGGGGCTCGAATCAAAATCAACAGCAAGTCTCCAGCTGGTTGCCATGCCGCAACGCGTGGCTCCTAGGCCTAGAAGCTGACCCAGCTACCCACTGGAGACCCTCCCCCTCCATCCTCGCTGCTATCGATCGCTTCTTCTCTTCGCCTTGTCGGTAAACAATGCACCTCGTTTCTCGTTCTTTCATAACCCTCCTCAGCTCCATCTAGAACCTTGTTTTTGTTTCCCCCCTCCCCTTTCATCCCGTCGTTTTCGTTTCGTTTTTTTTTGGTAGATCAATATCGAAATTGCAAACGAGGTCCTGTTATTTAAAGTCCCGCCATTATCAGCTTACCGGCCCTACTTTACACAAGTTCGATAGCCGCTGACGGCCAACCGCCATCCCGCTCAGCCTCAGTCTTTGCTAGCTTCAGGGCCAGGCCTTCGACCTGTTTTCGGTTCGCAGATCTCCCGGGCGGGCACAGAAAACAAAGAGACACCGTCTCTCTCTCTCTCTCCGTCTCACATACATCTCCCGCTGGTTATCCTTACATTTTGAACGCCTCTGTCGAACCATCATCGCCCGCCACATTACTCGCATAGCCAACCCCTCTGTCGACGGCCGACCCTCGATCGCTTGCTGCATACGTCGCCACCATGGCGCTCTTCGAGATTGACCCCCAGCTTCTCCCGAATCTGAAGCTGGGGCTGCACTCGTTTCAGATCATTCTGGGCTTTTTGGCGTGGTGCTTGGAGATTGCCGTCTTCCGCGGCGACACTTCGAGGATTGTGGGCTTGAACGGATGGACTTTTGCAGTGGTGAGTTTGCGCACACAGTTTCTGTCGTCACATGGCAAAAAAGGACTCGGTCGCTGACGTTTGCCCCTCCCCTTTTTTGCAGTGCTTCCTCTCCATTCCCGGATGGATCTATCTTATCATGACCCCTCGATTCGAGCGTACTCGCAGGTTCGCCAACCCATACGTCATGCTCGGTGTCGATGGCCTCTACATCGTCCTGTGGCTTTCTGCCTTTTCTACCCAAGCGGCCTATAACAGCTCTGGCCAATGTGGCGGCAGCTGTGGCATCAGCAAGGCCATCGTTGCTGTCGGAGTGTTTGTCACGTATGTATATTTTCTTAGCATACCGGATCTTTATGTCAACTATTTGCGCCAGTATGGCTAACCCATGCTTCCCATCACAATAGTCTCCTCTGGATTGGAACGGCCTTCCTCAGTGCCTACACCCTGCAGTACTACAACTTCCACGGCACTCTCCCTGGCTACGACAGCCGCAAGATTGGCGGTAGCGACAACATCGACCCTGACAAGGCCGCCTTTTCCATGGCCCCTCACGACGAGGAGGCTTACGAGCGGGTCAACATGGACGACCACGATGCTCCAGGCTACGACGACCACCACACCACCATGAACAGCCGCTACGGTGACAACACTCCCTACAACGCCGATGACTTTGACGATCCCAACCGCTACGGCGCTCTCCCCCCTCGAACCAACAGCGGCCCCCTTTTCGACAGCGAGACTGAGTACCACGGCAGCAATCTCGGCAGCAACCTCAGCACCGACTTCGGCACACACAAGACACCCTCGCCCAGCCCCTACAGCGGCAGGCACTCGGACACCTATGCTGATGGCCCGGTGCAGTTCCCGTCCGCCGACTATGACCGGATAGAGCACTAAAGAGGGGAAGATGGTAGGCAAATGAGGAAAAAGCGCATTGGCAGGCACAAAGACAAGGATATATGACGACGGTAGCGGGCACTATCAATGACTTGGACACACACAAACCAAACTACATAAACCGGGAGGAAGGGGTCTCTGGTGGGCCTGGATGCTTATGCTTGCTTGGGGTAGAATATCTCTACGGCGTTGACGGCATCCCGAATTTTTTTTATTCCTCTTTGTTTGGACATCTGCAACATGATGAAACGTTGATGAGATACCAGGTGTATATAGAACGGGCTGGAAACTGCACACGAAGTGTAATTTGTAGTTTTGCAATTTTCATTCATTTTTCTGTTTGAAATCTTTAAATTATCAAGAAAAATTACCGTAGCTGAGGTTCCATTTCGGAAGAGATGAAGAAAAGTAAAGCCTTTTGTCTTGATATTCAAATAACATCCTCCCAACGCCGTGACGTAAAAATGCACCGTCTTTGGTCTTTGCAGCCCATATACATATGCTGGAAACAAGAAAAAACAACCCAGTAATATGAATCACCATCCATATCCGTCTTCATGCCGAGGCCTTCAACTTCTTCAGCCGCTTCGCGATATCCGCCGCCGTCTGCTGCATGGGGTTGAGCTTAGGATCCCTCGCCATGGCCCTCGTGTCGTCTCCGTACTTGGCCACCAACTTCTCCAGCCACTCCGCCTCGCGCTCGCTCAGGTATCTGACCTTTGGCGGCGCCGGGTTCTTTGCCTCCTCGATGAGCGACTTGACCACATCTGTCGTGCCGACGCCGTCGTCGTTGATGCCGCCCCATTCTTCGTGGTCGTCGCCGTTGTCATCCTCGCCGGACGAGTCAATCTCGTTGAGGGGGTCGTTGAGGGGGTTCGCCTTGCGGCCTAGGACGCGGATGATGTTGCCCTGGGCGTCGCGCTCGACTTTGGCCTCGGAGAGGACGCCCTTTTCGGTGGCTTCGATGGCGAAGGGATCGGATCGTGAGGTTTTGGAAGGAGCGTCTGATGAGGTTGTTGATGCGGAGGCGAGCTTCTTCTCGGTGCCGCCGGTGGGAGTTTTTAGTCGTGCGAGGAGGCCCAGTCGGCGGTAGTTTTGCGCCAGCGTTTCCTTCTTGTCCCTGCAATACAAATGAAGAGCAATTAGTCAATTGAATCGGAGGTTTAAGAGAGAGCCAAAAGGAGTGGTCGTACCAGTTTTTCGCAATGACAGAGTTGCCGCGGGGATTGAGAATCTTCTTGGTGGTGTTTGACTGGCGGACGGGCGCGCGGCCGGAGCGGCGCTTCTTCTTCTGGAGTTCACGACCCATTGCTAACGGCGAGAAATGGGGAGATGTGCTTTGGGGAGGTGAAGAGTTTGAGGAGGATTGTTGTCGGATTTTTTGACGTTTGGCTTGGTGATGGATGGAGAGGCTGGATGGACGCCCAAATTTTTTGGTATCGGGTCTTATCGATAAGGATGGGATGGAGCTGCTATGCCTGATTTGAGTTGCGGGATTGCGCCAGACTGTGAATGAGCGCCGTGATTTCTTTTAGAGGGTCGTATTCATTGTTTGAGTATTCATTTCTAAAGTGAAAGTCCATTTTCCTGTTTTTAATTGAGAAGGCGATTTCATGTGGGTATATTTATTGGATGCGCATGCAGCATCTACCTGTATGCGACATGAATGAAACTTTGACAAAGGCTGTTCTATACCTAGGTACTCCGTAGAGGAGGTATCATTGAATCGTCAAATATTACATGCTCGTTATTTACAATCTATGCATTTCCTCCTTATTTTCGTATTCTTCTCCCGCAAGCATCATCGGCATCTAGGGAGCCGGCGCCTTGATGGCCTCAATGATCTTGTTCTGAAACTTCTCGGGTTCGGTGGTGCTGGCCCAGCGGTCGATGACCTTGCCGTCACGGCCGATCAAGAACTTCTCAAAGTTCCACTTGATCCTCTCGAGACCAAGCAGGCCAGGCTTCTCCTTCTTCAGCCACTCATACAGGGGGTGCGCATCGTTGCCGTTGACGTTGATCTTGGCCATGACGGGGAACGTCGTCTTCTGCTCCAGCGAGCAAAAGTTCTGAATCTCCTCGTTGCTGCCGGGCTCCTGGCCGCCAAACTGGTTGCAGGGGAAGCCGATGACGGTGAAGTCGTCGGGGTACTCCTTCTTGAGGGCCTGGTAGACGGACTCGAGGTTCTTGTACTGGTAGGTGAAGCCGCACTTTGACGCCGTGTTGACGACCAAGACGACCTTGCCCTTGTAGTTGGCCAGAGGGACTTCGGTGTCGGCGGCTGTAAGAAGAAAAAAAGACACTCGTTAGCGGGAAAAGTCGTTGACGGGCTGTAAGCAGATCGATCGTGACCTGGCGCAATAGCGGGGCGGTAGCTATCGGCGCAAGATGCAGGCGATGGGAATGGAGGGGCTTTGGAGGGAAAATGTCGAAGCTTACCGTCGAGCACCGTGAAGTCGAAGAAGTTGGTGGCAGAAGACATTGTGGAAGAGAGTCTGTTGCGAGAGGCTGCGGACTGAGACTGGACGGGATGTTGATGCAGAGTCCAAGTCGAGGCTGCAGGCTGGGCCGCGCCAGAATATAAAGAGAAACTCCTCAAGTCAGTCCACTGGTGACGTCTTGCTGCTAGTGGCGCTCGGCGTATTGCTTCAAAACGGCCTGTGTTCCAGCTCCGGGGTTTCGGGCCCGGCGGTGTCCGCCTCAGCACGCGGGATGGCAATTTGGAATGTGCAAAATGGGACATTTTTCCGTGTCCCGCGGGATATCACAGAGCCAATCGTTTAATGCGAATTAAAAGATGACAGGCGATGCTGTTATTGTTTGCCTTCAGCCTCGCAGAGGTCCGAGGAATGCATATGCTGGAACGAGGGCGATACGTTGATCAACCAACATTTTCAGCCTCGGCATTGCCCCACGGTGGAGAGCTGGACAAAGTGTTTTTCAAGACGCAATCTCAAATACCTGCCGGATCGGAACACTGAGTTTGTCCGCTATACGTCCTGAAGAGTGATACAGTAACCCCGCACCTGGAACTGGTGCGATTCGAACTTGATTTTCGTTTTGCTGGTTTATTAATCTAGCAAGGTCTAGGCATCTTTTGCGGTGCAGACTCGGCGGCTCGTGGCAAATCATCATGTCTGATACAAAGGGCAGCCACCTGACGTAGCCTTTTGAAATGACGGGAAGGCTAAAAGAATTTGAATGGAAATGGGAGTTCCACAGGGTCCTCGTTAGCGTTTTAGCCAGGCACACTCAAATCCATATGACAGTGGCGATCAGCACTGGGCAATAAAGAGGCGTTTTGGTAGCACCACAAAGTGAACCCAGGCCTGTGGGGGTGCGTGTTTAACCACAGTAGTAACAGAGTAGTATTAATTGCCAAGCGTTGCTACTGAGTAGTGTATGGATCTTCCTTTTATTTTGAAGATGCTGGTTTGACGGTGGTTGAGCTAGTGTTCTAATAGACAGAGTGCTGACCTCAAATATGAATCGATGTTGCTTTTGGGATCAATCACATGCTATTACAGCAACAGTTTTGTCAGTGAACTGCATTGCGGGGGGTTCCACGGGTACAGAGCGAACCAAACGACATGACCCGAATAATTCACAAGGACAAAATCTTAATCAGTAATTTATAGATGGCATAGTTGTGTATATGTTATAGCCGCCTGCTTCTTTCTATCGTTGGAACTCCCACATCTACTCCCGCAAGTTGAGGGTAGAGCTGGCTTACGTCATTGGATCGATGACTTCAAGAGCCACCGCCCTGAGCAGCTCAAGCACTCAACATGAACGTTCCCCTTGCGTTTGCATCTGCATCCGTGCAAGGAGAAACCCGTAGCTAGCCATGGAGGAAAAGAGAAACATAGTCATTGTCGGTATGTGTCTTCTTATCCTTCCATCCCTCAATCCAGATTAGCAATTGTCGCACTGCTGTTGAGGTTGCACTTCACAACTAGGTACAATAAACATTGAAGAAGCGCCTCCAACGCCCATGGATGCTCAATGGATCATTCCAACAATCCCGCACAGACGCTTACTTAGTGAGGCTTGCAGCGCTAAATCGCTAACAAACCATCCAATGCTCTAGGAGGCGGCATCATCGGCTGTACAACCGCCTATTACCTGACCCGCCACCCAAAGTTCAACCCTGCTCTGCACACCATCACCCTTCTGGAAGCCGCTCCATCTGTGGCAACTGGCGCTTCGGGCAAAGCAGGCGGCCTTCTTGGGCTTTGGGCCTACCCGGCGTCTCTTGTTCCGCTGTCATACGGGCTTCATGCAGAGCTTGCCGCGGAACACGATGGAGCCACCCGCTGGGGCTACCGGAAAGTAAAGTGCGGCAGCATCGAGGCCGTGGTTACGAAAGAGAAGCTTGGCAAGCTCCAGAAATCTGCAAGTGAGCATGGCAAAGAGTGGGAGAAGCTTCCAAAGCAGGATGAAGCTGCCATGGAGCTCCTCCAGGACGAGGAACTTCCCGCGGACCTAGACTGGATAGACAGAGAAGTTGTCAGAGGATGGGCCGAGATGGGGTCTCCGGGAGCTACCGAGACTGCTCAGGTTCATCCGCATCACTTCACAACCTCAATCGCAGACCTGGCTCAGAAGGGGGGTGCTACCATCAGGACGAATACAAAGGTGACAAGGCTCATCACCACAAAAACCAGCGTCGAGGGAGTCGAGTTTCTGGACCGAACAACCGATGAAGCTGGCAAGATTACAGATGTGACCGATATTATTGTCGCAGCTGGTCCGTGGACTGGTCGAGTCCTTCCCCGATCCAAGGTCGAAGGCCTGAGAGCGCATAGTGTCGTCTATGATGTCGACGTCAGTGCGTATGCCGTATTTACAGACATTGAACTGCCACCAGACTTTATTCCCGAACATCGGGCAAAGATGGGGCAGAAGAGGCAACACAGGGGAAGAGTAGATCCCGAGATCTACGCCAGACCCTTTGGCGAGGCTTATGCTTGTGGTAAGTGGACTGAAAGGGAAGATCTACACGATAGGAGGAAAATGTATTAATTGTTACTTCAGGCGAACCAGACAGCGTCGTGCCGCTGCCAGAAACGGCCGACCAGGTTCAATTTGACGAGGCTTACTGTGACGACATCATCTCTTATTTCGCAACAGTGAGCCCCGTACTGGCGGCTGCGCCTATCAAGGCCAAACAAGCCTGCTACTTGCCACGACACATTCGATTTGGACAAGAGAGCGGGCCTCTCATAGGGCCAACAGTAACTCCCGGCCTATGGGTTGCTGCCGGCCATACTTGCTGGGGGATCCAGAATGGTCCGGGTACGGGAAAGCTCATGTCTGAGTACGTATTCGACGGCGAGGCCAAAAGTGCCAATGTTGCCAGTTTGGATCCACGAAAGTTCAAGGTCTGACAGAGTCATCATTGCATATCAGATCATGCACATAGCTATAGAACGTATTTTCAGATAGACAGCGTCTCAGTAACGATGCGATGATTCGTTTTCAGCAATGACTTCATCGAACTACTAGCGTATCCATCACTTTATTTGTATATTGACAAAACATAACAGCGGTTTTTGGCGCGGACATCGTCATTGTCCAAGCGCTCACGACGTTTTTATGTTTGTCGAAGCATTTCTTACACATGGTTGGCGAGGTCTCGCTACAACATGTGGGATGCGCAGTCAAAGGCCTATTACTCCGACAGATCTGCCTTGTGCTATGCCTGTTGAGCAACGAAGTCGCCCAGCCTCGTGTAACCGCCAGCAGCCACCAATAACAGAGGCTCCCAGTCGGATTGGGCATTGGGATTTATGAGGCCCACTCCCTCTATATATATACTTTAGGTACCTTATCTATTGATGCCTAAGACCGTTCCTCATTCTTTGGACTCTCATCTTTGCATCACATATCTCAGAAAACACATCATGTCCTTTGGTTTCGGAATAGGCGACTTTATCGCTGTGGGGGAGCTTTGCTGGAAGCTCTACTCGCAAGTCTACAAGGTCTCTAGAGATGCGCCCGAAGAACTTCGTGGCCTAAATCAAGAGCTAGGAAACCTGCACAACACCATCCAGCTGCTAGTCGAGGAACTCAAGGACGAAGACTCAGTGCTGAAACGCTCCGGAGATGTTCGAATTAACCTTGTTAATCGCGTCATGTTGCAATCAGAAGAAACGCTCAAAAAGATGCAGCAGCTGTCCAAGCGTTATGCGGAGCTCCAAACGCCAGCTAAGGGGCAAGGAAAACGACTCAATCCGCGCATTTATTGGGATCGATTAAAGTACTCACAGGAGCTTCACACTATCAACGATCTACGCACCAAAGTAAGTGAGCCTCTTATCAGCTTCGAAAAAAATACCATGCGCTAAATGGTCATAGTTAATGCTTCATAACTCTCAACTCACCCTCACTTTGCAAGGTGCTCAAAAGTGAGTACCTTCTGCCAAAAAAATATCCAAATAAAGTGAGCTAACGGGCGGAAGTTCATCTTTGGAACGTATAGAGAAACAAAATACGCAGACCGACAAAAAGCTAGACGAGCTACGGCGGCTTCTCCTGTCTGATCACGCCTCGCGGGATCGACCAATGCTTACAGTGCCACTGGACACAAATGCTCTCATGGAATTGACGGATGCGTTTCTACAAAAAGCAGAGTTTGACAATCGGCCTTGGGCATCGATTGGTATTGATAGCTGGCTTCAAATAGGGCAATGGTGGCTCATGAAGGTAAGGCGTAAAGGGATGGCCAAAAGTGTGGCCACTGCTAATAAATGAGTAGGCAGAGTCACAACTGGGGGCCGCTCCACAGTCTCATGAAGATCATGCTACGTACAACCAAGGGTACACAAATCTCTTAAAGGCATGTTGGATATTGACCGATGTTATTGCCATACATCCCCAACGGACTCATATGGGCGCGTCAAATGACCGTCGCTCATATCACATTCAGCGTCTTACTCAAGCAAGTACAATAAAATGATGCGGCTGAGTGATCTTTTACTAATCTAAACTTTCAAGGGAGCAACTTCTAAACTCAATACTCTTTCCGCGATCACATTCCATCTGAATGACCTCTTGATGTGCAATTTGGATATTTGGAATCTACCCCCATCCACAGCTCTCACTCCACGTCGTCGCAACACAGGCGATGAGCCTGAGCTAAAATGGCAAACAAACAATGGAGAAATAATATTTCAAAAGTATGATTATCAAAAGCTTTTCATTATTTATTGCTAAGCAAAATTCTACAGATTTGCCGAGTTCCAAGACGATAAGCGCCAGCTGCCTGTTGAGTGTATAGTGATCATAGAAATGCCAAACGAGCAATGCAGGTATGCTCTCTCATTAAATGTGATTGTGCAGAACTCTATGGGGCAAGACATTTATAGACGCCAATGTAAGCTGAGAATCTTTCTTATGTTGCTAGTTAATCTGCTTATGTTGTGCATCTAATAGCAACTTTCAATGTGCACAACGACTTGTTAGATGTAAGAGATCTTCCAATCAGGTTTTTAACAGAACAAGGTTAGCATTTACGAATTTATTTTGGAGGGCCTGGGATACTGATACGCTGGGAATAGATAAGATCCTCTTGCATTGCATTTTAGACTCTCTATCTATGTTTCAACATTCCCCAAAATCACTTCCTATGGACGCATGCATGATATATTCAGCTGCGATTCTACATATTTGCGTTAGGACTGGATATGGACTTTTTCACCTGTCCTATTATAAGAGCGGAAACGAGCATATCAGTACATTATCTCGATATATGCAAGAATTGCAAATCAAACCGACAACACATATATCTTCTCTCTTCCGAAAGTTGGTTGATCGCATTATTGACTATATCAAACGATGCTCTGAGTGCTTTCCGAGAGATTCTGATCGAATATTTTGGATGCAAAAACACCATTGTATCTGGATGCTGATCTACTGGCTCTGCGATACATTTGAAGCTTTCTCAGAGCTTTTCGAAGCTCTTGGAAGTTGCTCTGCAGACTTTCATCCAGTTTCTCAAAACTGCGTTATCATATGTTCATTGTTGCGGAAAGACATGAATTTTCCTGAAAAGTTCCTCTCGTCTATGAATTTAAAGCCGCATTGGATTCTCAACGACACTGACACCTTGTTACTTGCCATACAAAACGATGATGCTGCCTTGCTAAAAATCGTGATGAAAAAAACTCAAATGCACACACGAAATTGGGGCATTGCATGGAATTTCGCATATACTCATCTCAAATGGGATGCTATGGGTGCTCTTTTGTTAGCACCCGGTTCTGACAAGAAGTTCGTCTACGAAGCACTTTTTTGGTCGGTGAATCAACAGAAATGGGATGAACTACGGAATTTTTCAGATTTCATTCAATCATCCGATGCACATGGTATCAATATACGTAATCTCTGTCGCGATCCGATCGCCGATACCCGTGATCCGATCGTTTATGTCCATGATTCCTATATGGATTTTGAATCCTCCCTGACATTTGACACACATGAACAGACTGTGCAAAGTTGCGCTGAGCTCATATATGGAGGAAGCTTATATGACCTGGAGATCTTTCTTGGTATTATTCGACGATTAGGTTTCCGTTTCAACCCACGGCGAACTCGGTTCGCTGTGCTACCAGCTCTAGCCTCTCGGAAGCTTTCGGTATTGAAACTCCTATCTGAAACACATGTCATCTCAGTTTTTAGGCAGGCTTTCGACCGCACTTTCGATAGGTACTTTGAACCGGAGCGGGTACCGTTACCTTATTCACGTTCAAATCGTTCAAAAGATCGCCCCTTATATGGATCACCACTTCCATTGGATCTAGCAATAGCTTTTGTTTTGGATCTAGAAACTGTCGAATACCTCTGTCAAACAGGGGCTCGTTTGCAGAAAAATTGGGTTTATGACGAACCAGAAACCTTACGAAAACTTCGCCTCACTACCTCTGTCCAAGGTGCCCGAGAACACAACTGCGATGTAAAAGGCATGTGTTATCAACTATGTGTTGAAGAAATCAAGGAACAAGTATTGAATGCCAATCGAAGCCACGAATTACGGAGCTATAGCCATAGGTCACGGATTCATAGCGTTCGTCGACCATCTAGACCAATCGTCGAAACTTTGGCGATGACGGGGCGTATTATATTTGAGGGCGATTGTCGACAACTCTATAACATCTCTCATACGTCTACTAGATTGACGTGGCAGGCAGTCCAAAACGAGCTCTACCCGGACAGCAGGGAGGATAGTCCCATTCCAATGGCAACATCGTGGCCTGCGCCTCTTTCAACAGAAGAAAGCTGGGATGACTGGCGCTTGAAAGTGATTGATATTCTTGAGAAACTTTGAGGCTTGAAATCTCGAACGCTTTTTAGCACAACGCAATTGGTGCGGTACATGTCGCCTACTCGATGGAAGGACTTTGGTCTAAGTCGACAATCCCGCCAAGATATCCTCCGTGAACAAGATGGATGACCATAGCTGTAGTAATGCAGGTAGGCGGTGCACATGATCTGAAAAAGAGAGTTGCACGTAACCAACCATACAAACTCGCAAGCAGGGAGAACCGTGCACCGACTGTTTTTCTGTCAGTTGCTCTTTATCAAACCCTCCGTCTCTTCTCCCAGTTCTTCCCTGTCGGTGAAGGAAATGTCAAATTTCCTTTTCTTGGCTTTATAGTCTTGGATCAGGTCCTACGATCTTCAAAGCTGCGTAATACCAGCTATGGCTCTTCAGCTTCATACCCCAAGTTGCATCCGGTCTCCAGTTCACGCCCATCATCCACCCCCGCCAGACAAGCCGCTTCGCATCCAAATTAAGGGGTCCACTTGTATCCATACAAAAGCTTCTTCCAAACGAGCCGTGGCTTTTCAGTGAATTTCCTCCGCCTTACCCACAGCCGGCTGGGCCATCGCTCGCGAAGCTGGCGTACCGAGCCATATACGGCTCCGACCCTCGCCCCGGTATCGAAAATGACCTCGTCGTGCGTGACGAGTATCTCAGCCGGATCAAAGAAACTATAGAGTGAGTTGCAGGCCTAGATGCATAGACAACTTGCTTGGCCCTATTCATTTGATCATGACTAACGGCAATTCTCGTTGCAACTGGTCTCAGTCAAATAGATCACTACGGCGTGACATTCGACCACTTAGACCCGCCTTGGGATACAGATCCCGAGGTGCTCCAAATAAACATTATTGAGATGGACGAAGACGAAGGCGAATATGCTAATAAGTATCTCCCATTTGCGGTGGACTGGAAAGAGTTCACCGGTAAAAAGATCCTTGCGGTTCCCAGATGCTGCCAACACAGAAAGGGGACCACTGATCGTCTAAGAATTAACGACGGAGGCAAGCGAAGAGACAATGGGTACGAGGAGGGCGTGTACGAGGAGCAGACAGCCCTCATAACTTCCATTAAAAGGGCTAATCCACCAGATAGATGGGGTCACAAGATAACAGGGGGAAAGACTACAAGATGAGCGATTCGGTCGTACGAACTATTAGATCTCCGGACTGCCCTTCCTACCGCAAAAGAGTGAGCATTGATCGTATCACAGCCAAAGATACGCGTCGCTCACAGTGGTAGAACTTGTACATAAGACATATGGACATCTGTTGTAGCTTCTTGTTTCTGCTGCACATGCGCATGCTCCATCTAGAAGAAAAGATACGCACAATTGTCAACCTCAATGTTGTAGAAGACGACAATGGAGGTATTTGCTCTTTGGTTAACGATCTTGGCCACTTAGATGTAAGTGCTCATACCCTTTACCTGTCCGAGTCATGTGTTTGCAGCGGGCCGTCTGGATACAGCCTTGTAAGAAGCCGCTCGAACCGCATGGAGATTGCTCCTTCTCTCCTCTTGTTGACGATTTGCTTCCATCAACCCCTTTTACACATGATGCTTCAAGCTTAATCTGTTCAGTTGCTGTCAAAGTGAAATGCAAGCAACAGGCGGAGTGCTGCCCCACGCGGACCGCTCTGCGGACCGGTCCACCACGCCCAGAAGTGGAGGGGTCGGTATCAACCTAGTATAATCGCATCACCGGCTTTGCATCGTCTGCAAAGCCAAATTTAACATCAAGCGTCTCTGCCGAAGTCGTCTGCCGGGTAAATCTCCAGGGATCTGCGCGCAAGATCGTGTCCCGGGGAGAAGAGACGCGTCTGATGGCCGATTGCCGTCAGGGATGAGCTCCCTAGGCGTCTCGGACGATCGCCCAAGCTCTCGGATAGCTGCGGCGTTTCGTCTCTCGTTGAGCTTGTGATGAGCGGAATACCGCCGATTCTTGTTCATCTCGACCATGCTCAACTCCAGTGTCAATTCTCGGGTCACGCTTGGCGAAAGGTAAGCGGTAGATGGCACTGCTACTCCTTTTGGGACATCGGGGCCGTCTGTTATCTCCAACTTCATAAGGATGTAAGCTAATCTCTGTCAAGGCAGTATAGAAGTTGAGTCATCATGCAGTGCTAGGTGTTGGCAAGACCGAGATTCGGATAGCAAACCGCCCCCAATACTGGGACAACCAACGATACGATACGTCGGGGCTGCGATTTCCATCGGGCCTCTTGTCCCGTCTCTAGCACGCTTCGGCGCCGACAAACCGACACTACACCCTCTGCTGCGTACAGGTATTGAGAGCTGATGCAATGGGACCTTGTCTGATTGGAATGCCTGGCGCCCGCTCCGAGTTCAAGTCACTGGGCAATCAACATGTTTAATCGGCAAACGGGCTCTGAAAAGCAATGGAAGGCAATGCAGTCGGTGGACAGTCGACAGAGAGCGCGAAATCCCCACAAGGGCGATAGATTCAGTTCCTATACGCATCTCGGGGAGTTTTCCTCTTTTGACGAGGATACGAATGGGTGTGAGTCCTACTTGGAAACGAGGGGGAAATGGCTTGTCTCTACATCAAGACAAACTGCCGAGGTCTGGCTTCAGCCGCCTTGCGAGTGCCTTCGGGATATTACGCTCTCGATGGCCTTTCCGAGCATGGCCAGTTTGTCAGCCGCGGCCACCGGATCGGCCACGGAGGAAGTCAGAATCCATGGATCTCAGATCAAGTTCTACTGCACGTGGTCAGCTGGTGAGCAGCTCGCGATGCGCTGTAACCGCAGCCATGGCTAAAGCCTGGCTCGGATCAAGGGCTGAAGCAGACAATGAATGAATCGGAGATTCTCACTACCAAGACACGACATGAAGATGGATGGTGCAACGGGCATCAGAACATCAAACCACCGAAAAAGGAGATGGAAGATTCCCCCAACCCTCCCCCAGAGGCCATCAATCACTAAAAGAGCCGCTACTATAAAGGAGCGTTGCACAATATTACCTACCAGGTAAGTGATCAGCCACTAGCAGAGGTACCGGGTACACTTTCTAGCGCCGACGGTACCTGCCAGGTGCGCTGAGTTGTTGGTCAGCCGCTGACTCGCCAATTGCATCACGCTGCAAAACTCAAAAAGCGCGGGCCTGACAGGCTGCCCCGGTCAGGTTCTCCCGCTGCCAGCGCCTTGTACCGGTTACTTTTCGCGGACCCCGGAGTTGTGCAAGCCTTGAGTTATGCAGGCACGCTACCGCTACATGTGCAACCCCGCTCATGGTTTATTCAGCGTCTCTGCTGCACCTCAATCCAACATCGTGATCGATGGTTTTTTCGCATCCGTCGCAACAGGCATGCGGTAGCACCATGTCCGAACAAGCAGCCGATGCTTCCAGCTGGGAGCGGTCCGATGCGCGAGCCCGGCCGGCGCCGACTGTCAACACCATCCGCCGCATCCGCCAGGCCTGCACGAATTGTCGGTGCGCGAACTCGCCTCTCCGTTCTCCGTGTCTTGCGTTTGCTCACCTGCAGCCGCCGGCTCAGGTCGGGAACCGCCGTTTCAGCTGCCGAGCGGAGCTGGCTGGCGTCTCCGGCCTGGGCAGCTGTGCTGTCACTGTGAATGCCGTTCAACGTCGCGAACTTGCTGTGGCTAACGTGTGCGAATCAAACCCTGCAGGCATCGCAAAACCAGGTGTTCCGGCGAGCGTCCCCGGTGCATGAACTGTCGCCGAGTCGATCGCGTCTGTCACTACGAGCCCTACTCCGCCACCAACCCTCCCAACGCAGCGCCTAGCAATGGTTCCGTCAAGGGCCGGTCGCCGTCCGCTCCCACGACAACGTCGACCCTCTTCCCTCGCACCGGCGTCGTGGATGTGAGCATCAACCGTCCTGAATCTGCATTCGCGTTCTGACCATCGATATAGCCCGAGCTGCTCAACAGGATCAACACCATCGAATCGCAACTGGCTCAGCTGCACAGCCAGGGCTTGATAGGCTTCTTGTGCGTCAACCTTGTCTCGATAGAACCAACAAGTTCATCCTTTGCTAATGGTATTCAAGAAATGGCGAAAATCGAAATGGGCAGGTTACTTTCCCGGACCTGGCAGCATCCTCCACCTACCAGGATCTCTCCCCAGAATTCACAGAGCCATCGCCACCTCAGCAGCAGTTCCCACCGTCCGTCCCCGAAACAACAGAGCAGCCCGTGTCCGATATTGCGAATGCAATGTGCGTTTATTGATTACTATCCCGTCTATACCGGGAATTATGCGACGGAGCTTGCTAACTCCGCAGCAGGAGATTTACCACCGCGCCGCCTCCCCCTGTCATGGCTCACCTCGTCGATACTTATTTCCTTCATGTTCATAACCAGCCATACACATATTTTCACGAGCAAAGCTTTCGAGAGAGACTAAATTACGGTCTCGTACCAAAATGTTTACTCTTTGGCATCTTAGCGTCAGCCCTCAAATTCTCAGATTCCGACTACTTTGCAGGTTGTAGGCGCGAGGCCACCGAGGCATATGCTAGAGAGGCTTGGCTGGCTCTCCTCAATGATCACCTAACCGTCGAGAACAATCCTACGTTGCAAGTCGCACAGGCTAGTAATATCCTTGGCGTGGTTGACTTCACATGTAAGTCGCGTTTTGAAAAAGCATGAAAAGTAGTGTTTTCGTTAACCATGAGTTTCCTTCAGGTGGTCGTACCAGCTCAGGGTGGCTCAAGATTGGCCTTGCCGTCCGCATTGCTCAAGACTTGCAGCTAATGAAGGAGCCCAAAAGTACATTGACCCCGATTGAACAGGAAGAGCATCGCCGAGCTTTTTGGTCAATATATTTGCTCGACAAGCTTGTCTCAGTCGGCCAAAGTCGTCCACCAGCCATTTCCGAGGAGGACATTCATGTCCAGCTACCAGTTGACGAAGAGACTTTCAGAAGGGGTGTCTGGAAGAAAACACCAACCCTTCATCAGCTCATCAACTGGAAGTCCGAGGGAGACTCAGCGGTCAACAGTACTTTTACTCAAACGATACTTGCCGCCACGGCTCTTGGACGATGCGTACGATATGTCCTACATGGGCGCGAAATTGACGAGATGCCGCCGTGGGATCCCAGGTCTGATTTCACATTACTAAATACCTTCTTGCTGCTCATCGATCATCACCTTCAAGTAGAAACCATCCCTATCCCTCAGATCGTGGAACAGTATCGCAGACCCGACGGAACGCTGGATTTCCAGTCTCTTGAACACGTCGTGTTTGCTCGTATCACTTTCCACACTGCCCACTGCCTACTCAATCACCCATTCCTTCTCCGAATGAGGCTCCAGAAAGGGAACTGTAAAGTACCGCCAAAATTCTTGACCCGCTCATTTGAAGTCAGCTGTGACCATGCGCGAGCAATATCTTCCGTTGTGGAGGACGCCATTACCTCTGGCTGCCACGTACAATCTTCCTTTTACGCATATGCCTCAATTCTCGCCGGTGGCATTCTCTCCTTGGCTATTCATATCGACCAGGAAAAAGGACAAGTCACGGACCCAGAACTATTGAGTCATTACCAAAAAGCCATCCACATCCTAGAACGGGTGGGAAGAAGGTGGGACCACGCTTCGAAAATGGTGAGTCTTCGCGGCCATTCTTATGTGTAGATTTGTCAAATTGTTAACATCCCACTTGCTACTTCAGCATCTTCAATTAATGCTCTTCGACGCCAATTACCACACTCTTTCTGCCCTTTTGGACCCGACAACCCAAGAGGTTGATCCAAAACTGGAATCTGCTCTTTGGCTCATGGTCGACTACGTGGCCATGTCCGCGCTCAACGAAAATGCATTGACACCGCCCCCTCTATCCGCTGATACGTTTCTAAGCCCGCTTGATTCTCAGATGAATATGGAGAACAGCGATGGCTTCACGGGCATGGCGCCCGATGCGCATTCCGATCCGAACGTTGCTTTCCTTGGTAATGGCGGCGTGCCTCTATGAACAATGGCTTTTTATTTTATTGCGATATATGACGGTGAAAATGATGTTATAGCCCTTTTTTTTTTTTTTGGATTCAGCAGTATGACTTATGCACATATCAATCTGGAAAAATCGGCAACTTGGTAAGTTTCGCATGTTTGGCGCATCTTGAGATGAGAATTATATGCTATTTAATACACGAGGGCGTCGATTGACGCTCACTCGCTGCGATGTACCTCTTCTGCAAGTCCTCTCTTTACTGTGATGGAACACATTGTTCATCGTAGATGCCGAGCAAGTGTTTGCTGAAGGGATATGAAACAAAGATGTCTTCGCCACGCATTCTGCCGCATCATTATCAACAAGTGATATTATTTTTAGTGTATCTTTCCTGTCTACAGAACCTCTAGCTCACGACCTGCTTATTTACAAACATTGACTGGACGTTGCAGAAGCTCTTGAGTCCGTTGATTCCCCACTCGGCGCCGATGCCACTCTCCTTGTGTCCACCAAAGGGCACAATGGGGGAGATTTCAAAGTGTGTGTTGATCCAGACTGTGCCGGCCTCCATTTCACGACCAATTCTCGCCGCCTTTTCAATATCGTTGGACCAGATTGAGGCACCGAGACCCATGGTTGTGTTGTTGGCGCGGGCAATGACATCTTCTTCGGTGCTCCATGAGAGGAGAGGGACGATGGGACCTAAGCGCAGAACGTATCAGCATCATTCAATATGTCTTTTCCACTGCAACAGAGTATCCTTACCGAAGGGCTCCTCAACGACAATTCGTGAATTCTCAGGAGGTCGGTCAATGACCGTAGGGGCAATGTAGAAGCCGTTGGTGGGGGGCTCAATCTTGCCGCCGACGGCGACCTTCCAGCCCTGCTTCTCGATGTCGTCGAAGAAGGTCTTGACGCGGTCGTACTGCATGGAGTTTTGGAGCGGGCCGTGGCTGACGCCGGCGTCGGCGCCGTTGCCGAGGGTGTAGGCCTTGATGTGCTTGACCATGGCGTCTCGGAACTCTTCGTAGATGGACTCGTGGACGTAGATGCGCTTGAGGTTCAGGCAGACTTGGCCAGAGTTGAGGAAGGCATATAGGGCAACCTATTTGTTGTTAGTATTTCCATGTCTGAGTTGTGGTGCATGATGGATGGAATGTTACCTTTTCAGCGACTTTGTCGACGTCCACGTCTGGGAAGACAATGGCCGGGTCGTTACCACCACTATCAAACTGTTAGATGGTTTCATGTTGTGTATGCCTGGGAAGGAAACATTACAGCTCAAGAGTCACTCTCTTCAGAGTCTTGGATGCACTCTGCATAACCAGCTTTCCGGTCTGTGTTGAGCCAGTGAAGCTGATCTTGTCGATGCCAGGGTGGCTTGTAAGCCATGGGCCAAGGTTGTCATCTCCACTGAGAGACTGGACGACTCCAGGTGGGAAGAACTGCTGTGCCAGCTCAACGACCTTTAGCCCACAGTAAGGTGTGAAAGGTCTACGTTGTAAAGTGTCAGATGGGAGGCCATTATAGGAATTTGTTCTTCGTAAGGGTAAAACTTACGATGGCTTGACGATGATGACGTTTCCCGTGAGCAGAGCAGGGGCAATCTTTCCCGTTGCCAGCAAGAGAGGGAAGTTCCAGGGGACAATGGCAGCGACGACACCTAATGGCATGTATCTTGTGATGACGGTGTGTCTCTCGTTGTCCTCGATGACATCCTCGGGGATCTTGATGTTGGCCATGCCCCTGATCCACTCGATAGCCGCATTGGTTTCGCCATCTGCTTGAGGGATCTGGCAACGGATCAGTACAACATGTTCAATGATCATCACAAGTCTTTTGGAAGAGTTCTTACAGGCTTTCCTTGTTCTGAAATCAACAGGTCGCGGAACTCGACTCGCTGCTTGTCAATGGCATCCGCAAATGCTAGCACAGCGGCTTTGCGTTCCTCATAGGGAACCTTGGACCACTTCTTGAAAGCCTCCTTTGCGGCGGCAACAGCGTTGCCTAGGTCTTCCTTGGTGGCTAACGGAACCTCAGGCTTCGCCTTGAGAGTTGCTGGGTTGGTGCCATGACGGGTGGTTGCCGTGGGCGAGCTTTTGCCGTTGATGATCTGGACAAAGCCGCTCTGGAAGTCCAGAGGGTTGGCGCTAGGCTCGGTAGCTGAGGGTGCCATTGTGAATATTGGTAAAGGATATCGAACGCTTGCTGCTAAGGAATAGTAAAAGAGAAGAGGAAAAGAGAAAATCTTGCAGAGGGGATTTCGGGCTGAACTCGAGTCTCTGTTGGGTTACCAACAAGCCAATTTATGCAACACCAGCCAAGGCTCTCCCTTACATACAGCGTCGTATCGTGCCAATCAACTTAATCTGGCTGCGACTCCTACTTCCCCCGCCGAGGGCTAGAATGCGGTCCGTAACACAAGACGCAGGCCGCTGAATCGAGCGTGGCTTGCCATCACACGGACGCATCTCCTCTTCTTCCTCCCCTTTGCTTGCAAATCGCCGGTGCCAAAACTGACAAACTCGTCGTCCTTCTCCGTATGCTTCCCAAACCGGAAACTATTGCCCCCCCCCCCCCTCACTCAGCCTCATTGTTACCCCAGAATCAACCATTTCCGCCTTTGCAAAAGATGTTTGCGCGGACCGCTTGGTGATGCGGACCGAGATGTTGCCCTCAGCCAATGAAGGCGGTTCATCTTGGCCGAACGAGCTTCATGTTTCTGTGGGGTAGCGGCGCCCACTCGATGCAACGACGAATCTCAAAACATCTTTATTCTTAGATTTAGTGCGGCGGGAGCTAAAAAAAGAGCTGGAGAGGGCTAGCAGATGGCGACTTCACTCGATTTGTATAATAGGGAACAGGCTTGGATCGCCACATGCCGCATTAGGCAATTTTCCGAGAATGGGGTGATGGGGCAGGGCTTCGCGTTTTTCTTGTTTGGACGGATGAGCTTTTGCGTGGGAAATGCCCGACGGTCCACTTGTTTGTGAGAGGCACGCGGTCTCATGCACGGGGGTAACGCGTTGATGTCTCTTGGCTTTGATGGGGATTTTGAGATTATGGAGTATGAGTAAGATTGAAGCACCGGTTAACGGACCCGATATCGCAATTGAGAGTTGACGAGAGAGAAGGGAATCGAACATGGTAGATGCGTGTTGCATGGCGAGTTCACAACAGATTCAAGAAGATTGCAATAAGAAAATCATGAGGATCCAGCTCCCATGTATAACTCAGGCATTTCCTAATCTAGAGGCCGTTGCAGCATCAATATCCAATATATTCATAATCCCAAAATCCCAAAATATGCCAGTATGAGCAGTGACTCTCAAGCCAGTACTCCATGATCATTCAACAAACAAAAAACTCATTGACCACGTCCAAACCCTCTCCGGGATATTGTAAAAAGCTGTCTGCCCTGAACGGCTCGGCCACCAACCAGCACGTCGCCGCCTCCAAGTCCTTGAGCCAGCCCTGGTCCACCATGAGAAAATCATCCGCCGTCTCGGGGGCTTCTTCCGAGCTGTCCTCTTTGTCCCATTCAAGGGACTCTCTCGACAAATCAGCGCCTGCATAAATGTCATGCATGGACTGCATCAGCTTCCTGCTCTGCCGATAGCTCTGCTCGGTTGCACAGCCCTGAAGATGGCCCTTTAGCTCCAATAGATGGACGCTGGCGGTGGACACGGCAATGTTCGCCGCCATGCTCGGGAGTAGTCGATCCAGGCCGTGGTCGTAAATGTTCTTGGAGATCTCCTCGATCCGCTTTGCCGAGTGCTGCATGTAAATCTTGCACATCTCCTTCTCCATCGTGGACGCAGTCGGCTCGTTCAGCAACACCATGAACCGCGAGCGGTACAGGCACAGCACCGCCGTGTTGTAAATCATGTGCAACACGGCACGGTCCATCGAGATGCTCGTGTTACCGTCCTTGCCAATGTCGTTGCTCGAGATGGGGCGATACGAGACGCTCTCCGGCAAGCCGTCTCTCCACTCCAGCAGGTCTCGGATGTACGTGGTGAATTTCTGTTCGCCGTCCGCCGTCATCTTGCGGGCCTCGGAGAAGTTGGAAAAGTTGTCGTGGGGCGCCACGTACAAGCTGCTGGACAAGAAGCTCATGGACCGGCATAGAGTCGCCTGCGCGACGCACATGCGGGCCAGCTCGGCGCGCTTCTTGCGGCTCTTGACGTAGACGCACATGGCCTCGAACTTGGCGTGGTCGTCGTCGCTGCGGATCTGCTCCGGCTGGAAGTCGGCCTCCTCGAGCATCGACAAGTGGAAGTCGCCGTCTTTGATTCGCGGCAGCCGCTTCATGCCGAGGGAGAGCAGCCGGTCGCGGATGAAGCAGCACCACCAGACTCGGCGGCGCAGCCTCTGCCTTCGCTTTGATAGGTTGGGCTTGTTGACCGAGGGCTCCAGGTGCAGTCCGGCGGCAAAGGCGTGGGAAACGGCGGCATCAATCCAGAACCATGTCTTGCCGTGCTCGTCGGATGCGTCTTGCCATGAGGTGATGAGCAGCAGCGATTGCGTGAGAACCATCTGGTCCAGCTCACAGTTATACTTGTAGAGGAGCTATCCAACAACGTTAATAGTTGAACGGTGTAATGCATTCGAGTTACCAGGAACAAACTTACACGAACTCGCTTCATAAACGCCGTGCGGGCCTGTTTCCGTGTCTGATATCCGCCATTTCTAAGATGCTCCAGCTCTACATGTGCCGTCCCGGCTGCGAGTACAGCCTGCAGCAATAGCAAGCTAACCTGGCCCGCTGACCCATCATGTGTCTCTATAGAGTGCAAGAAGGCATCCAGATCCAGTGTAGGAACATACGGGTGCACGTATTCGAAGAATGCGCGGAGAAGAGCGTTCTGTAGAGTGCTGTCGGGCAGATCCAAAGCGCCCTCGGAATGTAGATACTCCATGTCGTCTGGAGGCAGACTGGTCAGGGGCCTGACATATTTCGGCAGATCAAAGGCCTCGACATCATCCGACAATAAACTCTGCGGAGACTTGTCTGAATCAACGTCTGCTTTTAAGAGCTCCAGGTCTTCCATGGAAATGGGTGCGTCTAAGGCGTCGATGGCAAACTCCTCGAGCAGGTTACATGCGCCATCTTTCAATTCAAACTCCTTTGAAGCACCCGATTCTGTTAGGACCACAGTAGGAACGGGCTTTCTTCTCCGTCTAGACATCTATTGTTAACAAACGTTGTTACTCCCCATCGTCTACTTCGTGTCCAACACATACCTTCTGGGACGTCGAGCATGTGTAACACACTGCTGTCCATTCCACTGGCAGTTGCCGCACGGCGATCTTATCGTCACGTCGCATCTGACCTTTCTAGCTCGGCACGCCAGACAGGCCTTGCTAGCTCTCCGCACCGGCTGCTTGGACAGATGCGGCTCCGGGCTAAGAGAGCTGCTGTCGGACATGGCGTCCAGGGCGGTGCTAAACTGTTCCAGGGGATCCATCTGTAAGGCTACTGCAAGGGGACTTGGGACCGGTATTTCGGGTTAAGCACATATAGCCGAGGTCTGGTAGCCACGGGCAGCGGGCTTGGGATATATTTAAGCATCTCGCACTCGAGTGCTATCCGATGCCGGTTCGCGGTCGACTCTTCCGGAGGGCCACGGGCTTCGGTCCGGAGCCCCACGCTACGTCCACATTGCGCCACCCACAGCGGTCCGCCAACTGATTCCCCAGATTCCCCAGATACAGGAGCTAGAGAACGCGGGGTTCGAGCTTCCAAGCACATCAGCTTTCCCCTGGTCATCTGCTGGTACTAATTGGATGGAAGTTGAGGAATGGGGCGACAAGTTGTCATGCATATAGTTGCATGTCACAGGATCAATAACCTCGGATAACCTGAGTTGGGTCTGTCCAGCCGTACGGATCCTCAACTGACAGCTGCTGTATCGTACGATAAAGTGGGAATGGGACCCAGCTTTACTTATTTCCACTTGAATACCAAGGCGGAGTTGAGTTGTCACTGAATCCTCCCTCCTACGCATCAACTGCTCGACACTCAACCCCTATTCCATCCCTTATTCACTCACAATGAAATCGAGAAACGAAAAAACACGAACGGCCGGTAGATTTACGAACGAATATCATAGAAGTAACGCCATTGAAGCACACCAAGCCCTAGCCCTCTAGGCCGCTATCAACCAGGTCGTCTTAGTTTGAAACTCCGGAGCGCTCCGCTCCACTCTCAGGACTGTCTCCGGCCCGCTCTCTATCGAAACTCCCATCTTTTGCTTCATGCAGCGGAAGCACCGGCCAATAGATGACATGGGCTACTTCGACAGCTTACTTAACGCTTTGTAATACTGCGCAAGTCGGCGAGCATGTCAACGGATTGATTCAGGATCATAACAGTGCTTGGAATGGTTCAAACGGAGATTGATGTGGTTTTCCCGAGGCTGATCTGGGGTTTCCCCTTCCACGCAATCCGGCATTTAGACATCACGCTTCGTGACAAGGATACACCAAGCCCATTTTGAAGAATGCCTGTCTAGGTGACGAGGTTTAAGAACATGTACAGTCCGACTTGTCCAACTGCCAATCCCCACCGGTCCCGCGACTATGCAACTCAACATGAGCATATGTACATACTTCATACAATGGCAGCTGCTTTCTATTCTCTAAAAACTGCAGTCTATTCTAATTCTTTGACCAAAACTGGCCATATCAGCTACCCAATTTCTTTCCGTCGTCTATATATATACACTCTATTCTCTCTTTCTCTCCCATCCATCTTCACCTTCTTTGCGAAACTCTTTCCCTCCCTTTAGCAGATCAGTCACCCCCTGAACGGCATTCTCCATCCAAAACTGTGTTCCATTCGGCCTAGCCAGCTCCTGTCCAACCTTGCCGCCATCTTCATGCACAAGCCACCTTTCATCCACTGTACCCAGGAAGACATCGACGGTGCTACCATCATCCGCCGACCGCCAAATCAACGAAGTTCCGCACCGCTTGCAGAACCCTCTGTACCGGCCAGGCGATGATTCATATTCGTCGTATGTTTCCTGGGTGTGGAAAGGCGGTTTGAGCTGGTCAGGGAGTACAATGATGAATTGCGCAATGAGTGACGATGTCCACTTGCGGCACATTGTACCTGTCAAAGTGTGTCAGCATTCGGGTAGCGCATGTGCAAGTAGGTACATAACAGCCCGTAACCATCTTGATTCCATCTGATAATCCGGTACTTTTTTTAAAAAAAAAAAAAAAAAAAAAAAAAGGCACACCTACATTGACAGGCCGATGACTAAATTGATCTGAAAGTAAGTCACGCGTTCAATCCCAGCGCGGCATCTTGGTGCATACCTGAGGCGGCCATGGGGTCTTGCTAGACGCAGATATTGAGTAGCGGATGGAGCCGCAGAGGCATCCTCCCGTGATGGCATCAGGGAACCCCATCTTGTCAGAGCTTTGATTGGTACGACGCAAACGAGTAAATAATTTACGGATTTTATTTTATTTTTTGGTTTTCTTTTAAGCTTGTATCTTTATTTCGTCAATGACATCTTACCGCATGGTGTGATGTGGGCCTGTCTTACTCCGACTCTCGTTTTCGGCGAGATCGGATCGGACAAAGACGGCCCACCCGGACGAACCCCCGGACGAGCAAGGCCGTTGCTTGGTCCGGGATAAGACGGGGGCCAAGCCCGGCCCCTCACCCAGCAAGTCGAGGTTGCTCCATAAGCTCGCAAGAGAGCTCATTGAGGCCATCTTGATAAAGGAAAATTAGCAGAGGATCAACATATTATTAAGGACTAAACAATAGATACCTACTCATGATAATCGGCAACTACCTTGGTTGGAATGGAATGGAAGAGAGAAAGAACTTGGCTTCAATTCAGAGGCCCGCTACAAATCCAATCATAGTAATGAAGAACCAGCTAAAGATTACATAGATGAATGCACCGCACAAAGTTGGTCAATAACCCCTCTGCTTCAACTCTGCCTCTGTCCAATCCCACAGCCTCTTCTGCATGTCCGCATCAACTACGTACTTGTTCTTGCCCTCCAACTGCCCCACCGGCACATAGAATCCGCCCTGCTTCAGCTTGCTCTTGTCCACGGTAGCCGCCCAAAGCTGGGTCAAGGCACCGTATGCAACGTCGTGATACAAGAAGGGGCCAAAGAAACGCAAAACGTTTCTGAGGAAGAAGCTGTTTGAGGTTGTCGTCACATACAGATCGGTTTGGATCATTCCAGGATGCAAAGACACCGAGGCGAGTTCGGGGTGTCGCTTGGCCAGCTCAGCGGCGAAAAGTATGTTGGCGGCCTTGGACGCGCCATAGGAAGTCCATTGACCTTGCGCCGACAGTTTTTCGGTCGAGATCATGGTCTCGAAGGCCGGTGCGAATGTGTGCCCATTGGATGCGGTAGATACAACGCGTACATCGGGGTTGTATTTGGTGACAGTTTGCTTGAGCACAGGCAACAGCTTCTTTGTGAAGAAAAAATGCCCGACGTGATTGGTGCCGAGTTGCAGGTCCAGTCCATCGTCGGTTTTGCCCGGCGGCTGGTTCATGATGCCGGCATTGAGAAACAGCAGATCAATCCGATCAGTGCTGCGAGTGATGTCCTCGGCGGCGGCGGCGGCCGAGGCCAAGTTGCTGAGATTGAGCTTCACAAACTCAATGTCGGCAGGCTTGGACAGCGTCGAGTTGATGGACGCGATGGCTTCTTTCGCCTTGGCCTCGTTTCTCGTGGCGAGGAAGACTTTTTTCGGCGAATGCTTGCATAGTTGTAAGATTGTCTCTTTGCCGATGCCCCCGCTTCTGTTGATTATTCGTGTTAGCCAAGCTTGATTCTCTTTTTTTTTTTTAAAAAAAAAAAGAAAAAAAAAAGGAAGTGTCAACATGCCCTCCAGTAACCACAATCACTTTGCCTTCTTGAGAAGGAATATCCCTTTCGGGAGAAAATCGACCCCAAACCATTTTCAGGTTATGTATGCGATATTGTTCTGGTTGAATTAATTCTGGATTGCTATTAAAGCAAAATATATATTGATGAAGTTTCTCTTTTGAAAGAGAGAGAAATCGCCTTATAACAGATTTCCATGTTACTCGACTCGATTATGACGATTTTCCGCCATTACATGGCTTGTCCGCTAGAAATGCAAGTGTGGCCATATTTGTCTCGTATTGGTCAGTTGTGAAAGAGCGTTTACGGAGATTTGTATCTGTCGGTAAGTTAACCACTTTTGTTGAAGCCATGCAGATGCTAAAGACATCGGAGGACTCGCATCCGCCAATAGGGTCGGACATAGGCCCTGCATCCGTTGAAGTAATTCGGTCAACCGTATGACTTTGACGGACAACATGCAATTCCCGCTCTATCAATTGTCGATACGTGTCAGCCCAAAGGCCATGCTATCTTTTTCTTCAATTCACGATCAGGCTTCAGGTCATCAAGAGACCGCTCCAGACAACCAAGGCCCTCCTACGAAGACTCGGTAACCGGGGAGCAGACCAGGCCCGGTATTGACGCCCGGCTGAATAGTAGATGATTGCATTAGTTCGACTTGATAATTACCAGTGCCATCTACACCGATTGAGTCTTGGTCAATTCTTCTTCACTGTATGCACTGTCATCACGACATGACGCTAGCTCAATATGACAGTATGTGCAGTATCTCGAGCCTGCCAAGTTCAAATGTCATCTTACGACAGAGCTCTCTTACGCGGTTATGTGTCTTTCTTTGCTTCATCTTTACCATGCCTAAATTTGACCCAGGTGAACAACAGCGCTAGTTACATGTGACTTTATCACGCGAATCAAGCGAGGCATGCCGCGTGTTTCTTCTTCTCTTATCCAGTCTACTATTTGCACAACGAGGACACTCTTCTGTCAGGCCGGATTGCCACACATGTCTCTTCGGTGTTACCGGTCCATGTTTTCCTTGTTTCCATTGAGCAGAACGTCAAGTGTGGTAAGATGAAGCCCACCACTTGGCGGAATATTAACCAGCAGAGGAGTCTAGCACGCAGTTGATTCCACCTTCAGTATCCATGTTGTCGGACTTTGCCTCATGAGACAGCGGAACAGGTACTAGCCTAATTCACATTGGTTGGAGAGATAAGGGGGTATGACTTGGCCCTTTAAAGGGCTCACATGCAGATTCAAAACGTTGTATGCAGCTTTGAAGACTCGGAACTTCAGGTACATGATTGGCTACCGCTCAGAACCAATTCCAGCTCTAGCAAGGAGTTGCAGGCTTGGAAACTTACTAACTTGACAGTGAGACTAACCTGACATGGCGATTTTTGATTCCAACCCACATTCACTGCGAGTGTCCCCATCCGAGAAGCTTTTATCAGCTACCAGGATGAGCACAGCACCGCCGGTTTCGGCCCTCGCTTGATTGGAGTTTTCTGAACAAAATTGGCCTCTGCATGCATTATTCTTGGCCTCTCCTACCAGGAAGTGATCATCATGATGAAAATCCCATCGATTACTCCAACAGGAGTATGTTTGCTGTACAACCACGTAGAACATGTAAGCCGTCGATAGCGTCCATTCATATTCAGAGCTACCCTGGAGCAAACCAGTGAGAAGTAACACGCACCCATGAACCAAAGTGTACTCTGTATGCTTTATATCTTTACCCATGAAAAGGCCTTGCCAATCCATTTAGTTTAAGCCGTCTGATATAACTCTAGCTCACGATTATAGATATACTTTGTTACCTTTGGGACTTCCACGAATATACTCCACAATCCTTTCGCGAGCTGTCGTTGCAGCACTTGTAGTACCCGACGGGCGGAAAGAATGCCATCCATTGCACAAAGGCATATTGCTCGCTTAGAGCTGAAATCCCATTGAATACTCCCCGGCATATTTAAAAGTTTGCTCATTTGCTTGGTACGCAGTTCCTCGTTAGCTCATGGCGAGGCACGATTATTCCCCCCTCCCAAGGGAAATGGCTGCATATGGAGTAACACCATGAGAGATGCGGCTTTGCGGCTGTATCATTGCACAACATGAGCTTTGGCTGCATCTTGTACAACTACACCATGTATAGGGTATAAGGTACTTTCTGAATAAGATGTAGACGTATTAGTACTTTTGACACTACACACAAGCAAAGAGCTGGATGGTGTTGTACCTGTTTCATTCTAGGTAGTAATGCTTACCTTGCTAAAGGTCGTCTATCATTCAAGGTTTTCCATGCTGCATGGCGTATTTACTTGTCTTTAAGATTCAAGTTATTTATACATTCACAGCAATGCCGTCAAAACTACTGAAAGGATCGCGTCGTGATATAACTTTAAAATTACCCCGTCACACTAAGCTCTCTCCCCGTATTTCCAAAAACCAGCGCCAATTTCATCGGGTGGCTGGGACACTGCCTCCACGCCAGAGACATTTCATCGATCGCACTCAAAATTCTGCTATCCATTGCAAATCTATAGCGATGACATTGAGTTTAAAAAGTCACCCCGACTTGCTTCATGGCGTACTCGTACGAGTACGTACCTGCTGCAAACAATCGCCAGGGGCAGGACGGGATCCCGCTGTGGCTGAGCCTTAAACGTCGAGGTGCGCTATCAACACCTTATCGCGGTGCCAGGCCGTATCACAGCAAAGGACGGGCGGCCCCTGCAGAACACTGCCGTGCTAAGGCCCAATAAGGGGCACTAAAACACCGGCCTAGCGCTGGTCTAATGCAGGAACCGAAACTCGGGTGGCTCAGCCATCCAAATCCTCTGGACTGGTTGGCAGAAACAATCAAATTCTCATCATCTTCACCTCGAACCTCGAGCATTCGCATCTCGTCTCGCCCCTTTTCAATCCTCCTCAGTTAATCCCGCCGGCAAACAAGCACAAACCCGCGGCTGCTGCTTGTCGCCTCCCGTGTCTAGCTTGGCGAGTGATCTGATTTGTTTCGCCTGCTCCGCTACGCGACCCCTTCGTCATTAATGTCTCTTGAGCTTCAGCTGGAGCCCCCCCTTTACGACGGATCCCTGTCCGCTCGCCCCATTGTTTAGCCTGGCCCATTCCGCTCAATTCATGCTTCCGAAACGTTGTCCAATGTGCCCTCCGCACAAGGCGAGGCTCGTCTTTGTTCTAGCGGGTGACGGTCCTGTATTGACGCTTGCCATCCCGCCAATGGGCGTGGCGGCTGCAGCCTCAAGGACAAGCAGGATCTACAAATGCATCGAGCAATGCGAGAGATGATGGATACGATACGGGTCGGATTCCTGTGGAGGAGTGACCTTCGCCATTTCCCTGATTTCAGGATCGCCGCCAAGGCCCTAAGAAGCATGTCTTGTCCCCTCCTCTTTCGGTACAGCAGCTGGAAGAGCAACGTGCATATTTCCGCCACCAAGAGATGACGGTGAAGCCAACGCTCTGAGGGAAGGAAAAGGAAGAGGGAAAAAAAGGAGTTCGGATAGCTGCGCTTGTCCAGGCACTCTTCAGGCCTGCGAAGCGGATGTGATACTGCGGGACGAACGCATGATGGAAGCAGAATACAAGCCTCCCGACTCAGCGCTTTAGCGTCGATGGAAGCCAGTCTAATGTGACCGAGCGCTCCGTGTCATCTTGCACTGCAACGCTCGGTCGGTTGGAGCTGCACAAGCTCGAAGCTTGAGGCCTCTCTGGCGCATCTTCTAGTCGCCGCAACGAGGAGGTGACAAGATGAGAGCGCTGTGGCGCCCCTTGTTCGTCTTCATTTCCTCTGTGCTCCCAGAACCCACTGCCGCGCCTTGGCCCAAACAGACGCAGGCAGAGCCGTCATACTGGCGCAACCTTGTGGCCGTTTGACTTACTCAAGCGACGCCATACAGGCATGGGACCCACGCCAGCGCCATGGATGGCTTGGGTTGGTTCGTCTTGTTCGCTCATCCTCAACTAATCATCCACACGCGCAAGGCAGGGAACGCCGATTAAATTATACATAATGCTCCCTGGGCCGCCGCGTAGGTCTCACTCCTTCTCGCCCACGCTCCCTTTCTTTGTCCAACTGCTTTTCAATCTTTCCTTCTTCTTCGTTTTTCTTGATACAGCCTCTTTGCCGGTCATTCCTTAAGCCGGCAATTGTTTGGCGTTGCATACATTCACTATGCGTTCCACTCTTTATGCGCTCGCGGCGTGGCCGCTTGCGGCTCAAGCCCTCGACTTCATCGACAGCTACAAATCCGAGCAAAATGGAATTATGCGATATACTCTTACCACCTCCAAGGGTGCCCGTTCGAAGCACCTGCACAGGCGCCAGGATAGCGCCGACTTGCACGCCCAACAAACTGGCTACTTTTACAGCATTGAACTCGAAATTGGTACACCACCGCAGGCAGTGAGCGTCAATTTCGATACTGGTTCCTCCGAACTCTGGGTCAACCCCGTGTGTAGCAAGGCTACCGACCCGGCCTTTTGCGAGACCTTTGGTCGATATAAAAACTCCTCAACATTTGTCGACACCCTGGCTCCGGGAGGTATCAAATATGGCACCGGTTTTGTCGATTTCAACTATGGATACGATTATGTCCAGCTCGGCTGTAAGTAATCGATATTTTCTTTTATACGAATCAACCGTGGGAGCTGTCACATGGAGGAACAAAACAAGCTCTCAAATACGCAATAAAGCATGCAGGCTTGCCTCAATATTGTCATGAGGCAATCGATGTGAGACGAGGGAAAAAACACAACAACCGCTAACGAACAATGCAGCATTGAGAATTAACCAGCAGGTTTTCGGTGTTGCCACTGATAGCGAGTTTGCTTCCGTTGGCATTCTCGGCGCTGGCCCTGATCTGAGTGGCTGGACGAGCCCCTACCCCTTTGTCATTGACAACTTGGCCAAGCAGGGCTTTATTCAGAGCAGGGCTTTCAGTCTTGATATCCGAGGCCTTGACAGTGACCGAGGCTCTGTCACCTACGGCGGAATTGACGTCAAGAAGTTTTCTGGTGCCCTCGCCAAGAAACCCATCATCCC